TCCACAAAATGGCGCCTGGATGACGTCACGATGACTTGATGACCTTGAAAATGTTCCTGTCACGTCTCATGACAATGACCTATCACTGTGTTAAAATTGAAAGAAATTAATATAACCAATCTTGAGTTATCCTATGAACAAAAAAGTGTAGGAAATAAATAAAAATAAAGAATAAATAAATAAATAATAATAATAAAGAAAATTCTGACGAAAACAATAGGTGATCTGTTTTCAACAGACCACCTAATAAAGAAAAATCTTGACAAAATCAAAAGGTGATACGTTGACTTCGTTACGTATCACCTAATAATAATAATGATGATAATAACAATGAGTTAAACAATAATAGTCAAAATAATAATTATGATATTAATCTACATTTATAAGCGCTTAATAGGAAATACCTCCACTAAGCGCTTTACAAAACCATGTCAGTGGATTCATCCACGCACAGCGTGCACCATCTCCACTCCCTGGGGAGCATTCCTACATTTAGGTCACCGTGGGGGCATATTAACAAAAATGCTTTTTTCGTCCCACCAGATCTCCATTTTCTCCAGGGTTTGGAGTGAAAAATGTAGATCGAGCCTTGTCCAAGGACATAAGTGCCGTGTCGGGGATAGAAACCACGACCTTTGCGTGTCATGTCAATTTCTTTAACCTCTAACACAAGAAGGACTATAAAAAAGTACTTAACGAAGCCCTCGGTGATACATTCCAATACCCAAACGATCATTTGAAGACAATCAAGACATCATATCACACGAATTGTAGCATTTATATGTAAGTGTTTTTTCTATACCAAACGTAGACTGTTGGAAACATTAATCAGGGGCTTTATCCACCGAATACCATATCCCTTCATTGATGATGAACATTATTTAGCATGTAGGGAGAATTACAGCAACTTGGTTATTTAAAAGATTCCATAGATTTGTTTCATTTTCTTTAATTTTCCTCATAGTTATCCATTTTCATTACATGTAGACATGAATACAATAATAGTCAAAATAATAATTATGATATTAATCTACATTTATAAGCGCTTAATAGGAAATACCTCCACTAAGCGCTTTACAAAACCATGTCAGTGGATTCATCCACGCACAGCATATTATTCATCCAAAAGGCATAAAAACACGATGCCAACTAACGATTTCAAAGGGCCTGTGCGTCACCTATTGAAATGTTCGAAAGTGACAATGTCGTATTTCGTAATCCGAATATGATTTATATGGGGTTTACAATAGGATAGTAAAATTGCCTTCCGAGTTGACTATTCGAAAAAGAATGCAACCGTGTTCTTATCGTGTGACATTGTGTCTTGTCATCATTAAACGAGAATACAAACTTACCTAAAAAGATGAAGATAATCGGTAAAATCTCTTCTCCAAAAAACCTAAGAGCCATCCTCACAGCAGCTGTCCTTTCTGTAGGGTACACGTAAACGTTAATGACCACTTTTTCTAGGTGCAAGCTTATACAAGCAGAAAAAACGCTATTGAAATTGATCTATTCAAAACTATTCAAAAGGATGAAATGAATGACAAGGACAGACAACCCCGAGAGCGTGATTGTCTGGAGGTTGTATTATTTCCTGCAGACGACCGTTTTCCGTCTCAATCTCTCTCTTCACCCCCCCCCCCCCATCTCCCTCTTTTCAACACCACTGATAAATGTTGATGATACTCACGGTATTGTGATTTCACAATGATTTCTCTATCATTATAACATGAATTTGTAATGCCATAAATCCATACTGTGTGTTATGATTGGGGGCAATTGGAGAGAGAAATGATAGAAATAACAGCCTGTAAACAAGTGAGGGAAAAATCAGGAATGGAAAATAAATGTGCCTACCTAAATCACTATGCATTTCATTTTTTCCTCTGTCTATCAAATAATTAATAATATCAATAATTCTGTTGAAATATAATCATTGGAGAGAGACATTTACAATATACATGTGCATTATTTCTTCTTGTCTTCTCTGCTTATGCTATTTTCATGTAGTACAATGAGTTGTGTTTGTAACTTTTATATATTGAAAATTGAATAAAACTAGTGAATGAATGCATTAATTAATGGATATCGATTGCCCTCCCCGCACAGACAAACATGAAGCTTATTATTGCGCATGCTCAGAACAGGATGACGTCATGATCTTCCTGTCTGAAGGTAGAAGGGCGATAATCTGTGTGAAATCATAAGGGATAACATCCTCCTGGTCCCAAGCAGACATTCTTATGAATACTAGACGAACCAGAATCCCTCAATTCTCTTCATCAATAGAAATCGTTTAGGGTTAAGCAATATCTTTTGACTGGAAAGGTGGAAACTATCATTTATTTCCTGTTGCTGTCACGAACTGAGAGAATCGTGCAACCATTCAGTAGTGAGGCCAAGGTTAACGTGGGTGTCTGTTTGAATAATGGTAACCTGACGGCTGACGCAATGGAGTTGTGGATTTGTAAAGCAATGGCTGTAAAAATTCATTAAAAAACGGTACTTCCAGTAAATTAAACCTAACACGGCGCATTTCCTCCGTTTCAAATAAAGGTTCACCTTCATTAAAACAAAATTCTTCTGATCAATCTTGTCTAGATTATTGAGGGGATGACATCCAAAAGGGCTTCATGACCTCTTGCTCTCTTAGCTATATGTTGGAGCTGTAGAAAAAAGTATGCATCGAGAATAATATTAGTTTATTTCTTTATTAAAGAATTTCAAGGCATCTTAATTCAGTTTTTACTTCGTGTTTTTTTTTTAAATTTGTGCTGGATATGGGTGGGCACTAGAGACCCCTACATATATATATATATATATGATCCATTTCCCTCTGCCACATATATCACACCTGTATTCCCCTATTTGGTTTTCACCTCCGATAAAAAGTCACTTACTCAAACAATATTTTCATCTATTGCACAGCCTTCAAAATGTTATCAAGTATATTTTGTTTATTCGTCGTAATTTTTGAGTGGCTACCTTTGCTTGTATACATCTCGTTTTTTCTAAGACAAAGTGTGTCCCCGCCCTTTAGATAATGTCATTGAAAGTGATATACAAGGCCAGGTATGCTTTGATATTAGATCAATATTTTAATAGCAGGGAGAAACAGGTCAATATCAAATATCGAGATACTTGTTCTCTCTTATTATTCGTTGTTGGACATGCTTGAGTGTTTTTCATTGAAAATTTCGGTCAAAATAAATCAAGAAATATGAAAAACTACAACATTATTTGTGCTTCGGAAGTATTCAGAGTTTAGACATCTTAGAAACATGTAACAAGAAATTCAAAGAATAGTATTTTTGCAAACTAAAGTGATTGCAGTTCTTCTTCGCTGGTTTATTATCAATGATCAATATTCATTATAACATGGGTCCTTTTATAGCGTTCATGGATATTAGATTTCAGACTTTTGGCGGTCTACAATTATTACCCCGACTTCCGCATGGCTACCATTATGGCGCTCTAGTATTTTAAAGAATTAAATCCTGCTAGGTACTGAATTACCACACCTGGGTGGATTGTGGCAATTGTAGATTAATATCTTGCCAAAGGATATTAGTGCCGAGGCGGGAATCGAACCGCGAACCATTTGATCAACAGTCCGCTGACTTATCCACTAGTCCACGGCTCCTCCAGGTTTGTTCGGATTGCGTCTCTAGTTGTGATTGGTAGCTCGCAAGCTGTCACGCTATCCTCCTATTACTCTGGTGTAAGAATCAGTGCAACAGCAGCAACCATGAATCTCGAGGTAGTGACCCTCAATTATTTCGCATGTTAGGGTGGAGTTACGGTGGTTCTAGGGAGTGTCCTCATCCTACGGACATCCACAAAGCAGTCCCGGGCCAGAGCAGACACCAATATTCCGTGGGGGTACGCCTGCAGATGCAGAGGGTCTTGAAAACCTCACGCGTAAGATCAAGGCGTCCAAGGTTGTCCTATGCGTCATAACTGCGTTTCTCATATGCCACCTCCCGTTCGGCATAATGCACATGCATGGCCATTTCGGAAACAAAATTACTTTGACCAGCTTTACCCCAGCTTTATTATGTCACGTAAACAATTTCCCTGTGTCACATTTCATTCACCATGTGCCCAGTAATTATAAAAAGCACGCATGTGCACAACCAGTGGCGTACGCAGGATTTTTTCAAGGGGGTGGTTTTCAAATCGGGGGGGGGGGGGGGTCTCCAAAATAACATACATAAAACATACACATAAAAAAAAATCGAGGGGGGGTTTAACCCCAAAACCACCCCCCTGCGTACGCGCCTGTGCACAACTAACAACCGCTATTTCTAAATTCACGGTAGAGACCGGAGATGAAAGATCATCAAAACCACGATCACAAACTGCTGCAAAATCAATAGAATGTCCATCACCAATAGAAATGAGCGAAGTTATCCTGTATATAACTAGAACATTACATTAGGGTATTTAAATTGCACTGGAAATTATTTATCGAATTTTTATTTTGATCGTATTGATCGTACGAGGAAGAAGGTGTGATTTACAACAGCGAGGAAGGCATACACAACCTCTTTATTTAAGAAAAGTCAATTGAAGAAGGTTAGGAAAGGAAATTGAAAATTGGAGAAAGGAGAAAATTGGAGATATGAGAAAATAGAAAAAGGATGACATTTCAATTCGAGTTTCCATAATTTGTAAATGATGTATTTGCGATGTAGCTACGTAAACACGGCGGAAATTATTGCGGTGGAATACAATCAATTATTGAAAAAACTAGGTCCACTGTGGTGGGTAATTTGCTAATTGCTCGAGTTGGATGTCATACATATCTGCTCCTTTAGATGCCATGATGAGAATCTTTTGACCAGTTGGAAGCAAGGTATTCCATCAAATTGGCTGGATTCGGAGCTGTCTCCCAGAATATCCCATGTTCATCCATGAAGCCATGTACCTTTTGCCTATTTTAATAAACGTTTTTATTTTTGAACCATTTACTTAAAACCTTGGCTTCCTAAACCATGGCTATCTACTACACGTTACTCAATACTACCACATTTCAACTGAACACATTTACCGGGAGAACCGCTGTGTATCTCGGCATCGGCATTCCTTGCATCATCGTCCTCCTAGCTGGAAATGTGATGGTAATTGCGGCAGTTTTTACTCAAAGAGCGCTGAAGAAACCGTCTTACTATCTCCTAACCAGCTTGGCCATTACCGATGTTATCACCGGAACAATCGCCATTCCTCTTGAGCTTTATCGCAGGGTTGTCACCAACGATATCACCTGCTCGGCAAAATGGGACGTGTACTTCACTAGCGTTGTGTACATGTGCGCCAGTGATTCCATGTTTCATATGGTGATCATCACGTTCGACCGTTACTTGGCCGTCTTGAAACCGCTACGGTATAATGCTCTCATGACACCACAGCGTATCCTTATGTTGGCTTTACTCGGCTGGCTAACATCCACGCTGATCGCAATAGAACAGATTGTAACCGAAAGCGTTAAACCAACTATTCCATCTTTTTATTGTTCGAATGTTCGAATTTACCCCACGACAACAACGGATACTAACGATATTTTGATCTTCTGCATTATCATATCATGCAATGTTGCTGTAGTCATGTTCAACATTCAAATTTTACGAATCGCGGTAAAGCAGGCGCGTCGCATAACCGCCATCCAATGCGTCGGACAGGGAACAGCAACGTCATCTGAAAATCGAGACGCAGCCTTCCGTCAAATCAGAGCGTCAAGGCTTATTGTTTGCGTCGTCATTGCGTTTCTCATCTGCCATACACCCCACGGTGTAAGGCGCTTGTGCTTGGTGGTTTCCAATGACTTTGCTTTCAACGGCGCCATCAGCCATGTTGATATTCTGCTCTATTTCATCAGCTCAGCAATTAATCCTTTCATCTACTGTCGAATGGATCGCGTTTTTCGTGAGAGTGTCGTGCGAATGGTTCGGTCCGTTTGGAGATCCAGAGCGACTGGCAACGAGGAACATATGACCACAACAACTGATCAATCAATGACGTACACGGCATAATATGTCGTCATGATATATCATGTTGCAAGTATACACTGTCTCTAAATAAGAACGAAATAATTTGAAAAAAGAGCTCTATAGCCCGTTCCACACGATGCCTCACTTTGATTGCCTCATGCATTAAGCGTTAACAAAAACAATTCTTACCTTTTCTATACAATGTCACAAGCAGACTTTACAGGTGAAATTCAAAGAAAATCACAAATATGTCAATTAATGTATCACTAGAGACTGGTAAGCTTACAGATGGCCATCGTACAAGTTTTAGGTCAACTACATATCGGGTGATTTATAAAAATACAAATACAACCACCTCCATAGCAGCTGGGATATACGAGATATTCGCCGGAAAAATAACGATGTTTTAATGACGTCACTATATGGACCAATACTGCCCAAGCAGACGACATCCCATAAAGAATGAACATAATTGCAAAGCTATTATTTGTCAAATAATAATGAGTTTACTGTATATAAATGTAATGGCATGTCAAACCATTCAAAACGGGATATGACCTGAATCTGATAACTAAAATATTTTGCTTGTAAATACACAGGATAGGGGTTAATTAACAATCAAAGAAACCAGACTTTCAAGTTGAAAAACCCCCGGAATGATATTAAGGACGGCATTTGTTCCCTCTTGAAACGCCGAACATACCGCGGTGTGTGCAGCTGAATATACAATGGCGTCTTATTTTGGTTAACAAGCGACAGATTCCTTTATTTTTGTATCGCTGCATTTGTCATCAAAATAAAACCATGCGCGGGGTTTAGAGTGAGGCAATAGATTATACATTTAGCCTGACGGTAGTGAAGTAAGAGAAAGAACTCAAGAGAATATGAAAACACAGGCACTGAAAATGTGTGAGATGTCATGGGACATCGTCTGCTTGTGCAAATCATGTCCATACTGTGATCTCACACATCTCAGCAGCGTTCGGAGAGCTCTTCAGGTGCTATGCCGGGGCTGTATATGTAGGCGTCTTGTAATTTATAATAATCATTACTTCGAATGTTTCCAAGCATTGAATTTTGATAACCTTGTCGAACCAAAGTTTCAACTTTGTAATAATGAAAATAAAGTTAGTTTTTAAAATCAATGAATATCTACTTTAAAGAAAAAATGTATCTTATGAAAATGTATCAAAATAAAAAATATGATATAGATAACATAAAAATCAATAAATCAAAAGCCATTACAATTGCCTGCTTTTTTCAAGCTTGTAGTAGCGATTGATGCATATGTCAGTAAAAAAAAACAGTTTGCACTCTACGTTTGATTTCTGTTAAAGCATTACCTCTCGCAACTCGAGTCGCTGACGGAATTTTATGTCAGGCAAATGACGACTTATGGGCAAGTTGCAAGCATGATTAGATCCTTTGTCCAAAGCCTCACTTTATAATTGTAAGCACTATTTGTTTTTATAATTGTGTATTTCCAAAGGGACAATTAATAAGGTTCGCGGTTTGAGTCCCACTTCGGCACTTATGTTCTTGGGTAAGATACCAATCTACGTTTGCCACTCTCCACCTGGGTGTAGTAAACGGGTAGCCGGTAGGAAGAAATCCCTGAATGTTTCTGCGCTTAATTATCACGGTCGCCGTGCAAAAAGCGGGACAATAATACGAATGAGAGAGAACAGAATTGATACTGATAAGGCTACTCTGGGTTGACAAATAAACATTATTATTAGCATCATTAATATTATTATCATTTATACAACTAACATGGAATATCACCCTAGTCATGTCATGTAAAATTGTAAAATTACAGAGTCCCGCCCCCACTCAGTGTTATTTAGGGTACGCATTTGCGTGTTCCCAGCACCCCCCCCCCCCCAAAAGTCCGGTGTGTAAAGTCAATACGGGTAGACCTTTTTCTTTTGTTATACGAGCCTTTTCAGCACCCCCCCCCCTTTCAGCATAAGTCCGGTGTGTAAAGTCAATACGGGTAGACCTTTTTCTTTTGTTACGAGCCGGAGATTTCGGGAACACGCATGGTATCCCTCCGTTCCCGGAGTCAGTGAGGGAGGGGGGCGGGTATAGAGCAGATATGAAACTAAAAATAATCGCGTTAGGATTCGTAATTCGAGTTTAATCCTTATGTTCATTCTGTATGCGTACACACCTATACAGCAGTAACCGTTTGGTGATCACTTGATATAAACACGATTGCAAAGAGTTTCAAGAGATCAATTCAGGGCAATTTCGATACGCTATACTACGTCATCGCATAAAACGTGATTGTAATGTTCGTACATACCATAACGTGATCGAGAAGGCTATTTAAAGTGGCTTCAGTTGACCTGCAGTTATGCAATATAAGTGATTGTTTATTGGCCTCTATATATAGGGTAGGTGTAGGGAATTGGAGACCACCAAGCTTGAACCCATCACTGTCTTTCCGTGTTGGCTCCAATATTGTTATAGCGCCATATGTGGCCTTTAACGACACTATTGCATATATTCAAATCATTTCGAAGACTACAATGCGTTCTTTCTCCGAGAAAATTGGCAAAATTGACCAAGATAAGCAATTTTGATCTTAACATTTTGCGCTGATATAAAAACACAATTTTCACTGAATGTTGTGGTGTATGCATGTATCTAGGGGTGGCTTTTAAAAAGTAGTTTTAAAAGAAAGTGTATGAAGTGTGCCAACCTTCACAGAAAACTTATGTCCATTGTGTGTTGTGAATGGGTAATTGCAATGCACATTATGAATGGTTTCTGATCAGAAATGTGTGTTGGCATTGGGGGACACCAGGTCCAAGATGGGGGCCTACTTTCTCCCAGTTGTTCATTTCATGTTGTAAGGCACTATCATGAAACATATTTGGTGGTTCGTGTCACCATTCTAATTTGAATGCATTTTATTTTAAAGACAAAGGTGAATGCTGGTTAAAAAGAAAGAAAAGTAATTCTCACAGAATGAAACGAAACTTACACTGAATGTTTAAGATTACAATTTTGGTAGAAAATGTATACTGGCTGAGTAATGAGTATAGAAAGATTAGGAAATCAAGGTTAGTAGCCCCGACACGTTTGTGTAGCCCCATATGCATATTTGTGTGTACAGTGCTTGTTACTTTACCAAGACTGCCCCAAATTTATGATGATACTGATGACTCCTTTGCGGTACACACCAATACTTACATGCTACATGATAAACTTTTACTGATCCATTCCACACCTTTTCTTTCAAAAAATGCAATCGGATGACCAGAACTCCCCTTTATCTTAAAAGGTAAAGACCAGTATTGGAAACGCCCCAATTTCAAAAAATGAAATGGAAGCTCTCATTACCAATCATGTGGAAGAATATGTTTTGACTAATACATGATGATAAAAAAATTTGCCGGGAAACCGCCTACTAATTCATATATTTGGTAAATTTGTTTCTCTCATGGACTGTGAGAGATATAAGGTAGTCCCATATACATCTTTTTGTGTATTGCTTGTTACTTTACGAAGAATGGGCCAAATTTCTTATCATTTTGATGATTCCAGAACCTTGCAGATGCTAGATGCTAGATGATCAACCTTTTCTGATCGATTCCACAACGTTTCTTTCACAATGCAATCGCATGACCATAACTGGTCTTTACCTTTAAGAAGTTGTTTCTATGCTGTGAGTTTGATCAATGCAAAAGTCACATTGCCAGAACACTATTCTGAAAGTATTTCAACATAATTTAAAGCACCTTTATTACTGTAAACAAAAAAAAAACTACAGAAATATTTTGGGCCACATTGTTTTAAAACCGTTTCAAACTAACAGTAAGTTCATTGGCTGCATGTATCTCTTTCAAAAAGTGTTTGAACTAACTATTACAATCACATTTGCATTCAAATTGTATTTAAAATGTCTTGATTTGTAACTGTCCCCCATTACCTACACATGTAGGTAATGAGAGACCTTTGGTGATGACGTCATTAATCACTGTTATCTTATTATTCAGTTACATCATGACCACAATTTTGTTACCAAATAAAGAAAATAAGTTACTGAAGACAACACAAAACTTTCTGTATGTGTAACATTTTTCATGTTTATGTAAATTATTCAAATGTGCTTAAGGGTCTCCAATTCCCTACACTTACCCTATATACATATATACTTATGTAACATTTAGTGTTTACTGTACATTTGATATTAGCACCATTATTAGCACCACAGAGACATTCAGGGCGATGTCAATACTCGTCGGTATAGGTTAATGCAGCACGTCCTTGTAATGTTTGTCTATACATATCATAATGGGTTGAACAAAGCTACTGAAAGTGGCTTCGGTTCAATTTTCGAAAGTCCTTTGAATCTTGATGAATAAAATTGTATGTGTTTTTGCTTCAGACAATCGGAAAGGCTTTCAAAAAATCAACTCCAGGACAATTCGAATACTCTGCAGTATATCATTATGCAGCACGTCATTATAGTGTTTGTAAGCTTATATTTCGTAGGGTGATTGACAAGGTTAAATGGATAGTTGAGTTCTGTTGCAGAGGATGCTAAACAAATAATTTTTTTGTGAGATAATGAAAAACTGAGTGTCAAATTTGAAAGAACATGCAATTTAAATGACGAAATTGGTTTAGAGACGGTTGAAATATCAACAAATATAACGATTTCTAATATTTGTGTACCATCACAAATATTCAAAATTTAAAACCAGCAGTTGGAAAAAAGATATAGCGCCTTCTACGTTGCATTCCAGCCAATGCTGATGTAGTTTTTTTTTTTTTTTTTTATCGTGTTGGTTATATTACGTATAACCCAATGGCCCATCTGTTGTTATTAATTAATTCATTAACGCTCACCGTATTTTTTTTTAAGTGGAGCTGAATTGGTATGATCGTAAGTTCACACATTTTGGGTCTAAAATGACTTTCATAGCAATTTTAGGTCCTAAAAGGGCACTAGAAATTTCATATGTAAGAATAAGAGCAATTAAACCATGCACTTTGAAGGCAATTGCGGTCTGAAAACAGAACTTAACTATCCCTTTAACGGATGTCTTTGATATGTTATTTATCAGACATAAGATTTGGTTTGCGTATGCGTCAAATTTATTGAAGTAATTTTGTGTTGGTAGAATTAAGCACATGGAATAAAGTGAAACTTGATCACAAATAAACGTCAAATATTAATTACTCAAAAGCATGTATAGGAGTTGTAGTGTAGTGCTATTATTGACTGGATGTAAGAAGATGTACTGAAGGGGGGAAATAATTAAATGATCACATGGCAAAGAGTTTGTGGTGGTATATATTATAGAGGGAAAGAAAGAGTGAGAGCGGACGGGGAAGAGTGTGTGAGGGAAGATCTCGTGGAGAGAAAATAGAGAGAGAGAGAGAGAGAGAGAGAAGAGTTGGGAGAATGAGAATTGGGGGAGAGAGAGAGAGAGAGAGAAAGAGAGGGAACTTCAAGAGAAAAAATGTGGGAGAAGGAGAGGAGCATATCCTGATTTGTTTTTAAGTGTCGAATGCCAGATATTCTTTAACTCCAACACGCCACACACTAGCTACTTTCCAGGACATGAAAAAAAAGAGATCGAACGAAATATTAGGAATTATATTTTTCCATAAATATTAGGCGCATTCATGTCGAATTTAACGAGCTTAATATATAGTTCATAATACGTCACGTGCCGGGTTCATTACACCGAAGGGAACACTAAACTATATTTGATGAGGAGGTCCACACTCTTAACATGAATTCCTTTCACTATGATTTGTATAGACACACAGACACACACACATACATATATAATAAATACTCTGTTTATAATCCTCCGTCACGGCGAAATCAAATAATAGTTTCAACACTCGAAATAAAAGATCCTTAAGAGAGTTCTCTTGTTCACTATGACCGGTTTCAATTTTATTTCTTCATATATTATATTAATATAGGCCTATATATAAATATGATATGTGTGTGTGTGTGTGTGTGTGTTTATATACTAAGGTTTGCTCTATCATTCCGTAAAGTGCTCAATGCCTATGCAGAGCAAAAATATATTGAATAATTAAGGCAGACCAATGGAACATGGTTGCTACTCTGAGTGTCACGCCTTACAAGCGATTATCAGGCAACTGATAGCATTCTTAAAAGTTAAAAGTACATGATCAATCTACAACTTTGGTCCAAATACGCTCAAAACAAGGCTTTACTAATACAATTATAATTACTCATGGATGAAGCGGCTATTGTAATTGCTCAGGTACTGCGCTGGATCTGTAAACATGTAGATTGAAGCCTATGGGAGGGGGTTTCACAAAATGGACTCCTCAAAGGTGCTACTACATGAATATTTATTTAAGTATATAGTCCCTTTTGAAGTTGCAGAGATAGAATGTGTTTTCATAGCGGCATTTGAGTTCTGGTCTTTTGTTCAGGAGTAAAATAAAACACATGGATAATTAGTCCATTTTCAGTAAATTACGCTGTCATATATTATGAAGATTGTGTTTCTATCCGTTTTAAGCCATTCATGCAGTGAAAAGTAATATCAGCATGATGTGAGAGTAAGTTCATATCAATTAGTTAAAAACCTCATGTTAAATTGAAAGATTTAAAAAATAATTAAGTTTTGCACTAAAACTGTGAATATGAGGATTTTGCTGTTTGAAGGAGTAAATTTATACCCTTATTGTGCATACCAGAATGAGATATTTTACTGACGTATCAACTGGGCAAGAACAAAATTTAAAAAAATAAATCACCAAAAATGATTTATGGCCCACTTTAGTTCCTTCCTGGCCCACTGTGCGCCTTCGGGCTCCACCTGTCGACTCAGGAATTTGGATGAAATGGCGCCAAAATGAGGATGAAGGCATGTAACATGTGATTACCAGTAACCCATATCCAAACCAAAAGGGGGTCAAAAAACCATGCCTGATTGACTATAACAACCAGAAAAATGTCAACAATAGACTCAAATTCATTTGTTAACCATAGGTCCCTGGTAACCGCAGACCCATGGTTAACAGATAAAGTCTTTTGTTGAAATTTGCCTAGTTCTTATAATCAATTAGGCATGGTTTTCTGACCCCCTTTTGCTTTTGATATGGGTTAGGCCTACTGGTTATCAAAAATAAATAATGATGATGATGATGATGATGATGATGATAATAATAATCATATTAATGATGATAATAATACATAAATATAATTAAACAATATATTTTGTTATTGATTTATTTTTGGGACTGTCTACATACTTTATCTTTACGTGTTGTAGTCCAGGCCTGAACTGTCAAGTCTTAGGTTGAGGCCATGTAAAATTCAGTGTTTGTATAAAGTTCAACCTTCATGAAAAGCCCCGCATATAAACTTTGTAGATATAGATAAAGTTTACTGTTACCTTGTATACTTTGATTTTTATATTGCGAAACAAAAATTGAATTGAATTGAACTATACGGTCTGCGAACAAATATTATTCCTTAGGCGAAGATTTAGAATTCCTCCACAAACATGACAAAGGAGTCCTGTTTATACATATTCACCATAATGGGGACGTTGGACGACAAATGATAACAATTTTTAGGACTTGTGTGTACTGACCCTAGACGTTTTGTCCTAGCTATTGCGAACTCTAGCAAGTTTGGTAGAGTAGAAATAGAAAATTGTTGGCGGGTCAAAGTTGGCCAGGGTATTGACATCCTTAGGCTGCAGTACGTATGTTCCCATGAATTGTCAACGCGTCGGGCCCCGTTTGCGAGCAGTTTCCTTTCATTTACTCTCTAAACAAATACCGCGGTGGTTTTATTTGTTACATTGTACTGCGTCGTATCTGACAAAACCTATATTTACATACGTCTGACACAAGAATCGAATTTAATGTTAATGAAGATTATTTAACTACTTATTTAATGTTAATGAAGATTATTTAACTACTTTAAACAGCATATACTTGTTTATGTGGAGGTGTCTTGGTCTAGTGGATACACTGGACTGTAGATCATGTGAATTAATTCCTAGAAATTCTAGAGCACCACAATGGCAACAAGGATAGTAAATTCATTTGCAAGGTCTGGTTTATGTAGCTTTTGAAAATAGTTTTGTTACGACGTTTTTTCTTCTACTGTTTGCGACGAAGATAAAACTCTTTTGAAATGTTAGTTACTGGCCTTCTGTGACTCGTCTTTTTCACTTGCAATGTACTTTTTATATTTTATTCGTTATCTTGATTTCTATATATTCATTCATCTAGCCATTTATTCATTTATTAATTTCATTTATTTCATTTTACTCTTTTGGGACAGAAGCTTCACCGCATTCAACTTCATCCCATTTAATTGAAATGTATAGGGAATGTCACACCTTTTCACCACAAACAACCATGGCGATGTTTGATCCATATCACAATTATTTAACCCAACAATGTTCTATTCACTACGATTTCATACTTATTCTTTGTCTGTGAGAGATCTGCACTGGCTCCCAATGCATCAAAGAATAGTATTCAGTATTATTTTGGAATGCTTATAAAGTGATCATCGGTTAGTCTGCAAGCACAAACCCTGGTCAGTCTTAAAAGTGAGTCTGCACTATAAGACTACCATAGGCCATGTACTGTAGCTGCTCCTGACACAACCTTCTTCTTCTTCTTGATTCGATTTTGTTTGGCAATCAGTCACAGTTGACTATTTTTGCCACACACTACTTCTCTCAAGGCAGAATGATTTTTTGATAAAGTGTCAAATTAGGGTCTGTGCCTGCAGACTAATCATCGGTCAAGGCCCTAGTTATATTGTAGAACTGTTAAAACTCAGTGATATATCGTAGGTTCTAAATGAAACACAACCCAAAATAGAGACACAGAAAAAAAAGGGTGTTGTTGCTGAAGGTTTAATGATGGACCCTACTACAGATAGACTAATAATGAGAGTCTTTCTTTGATCACATCATGACCACCGCCACCTGATAATGTCTATGTTGATGGGGCCAATCACTTCACGCGACAATGTTAATAATAGTAATAATAATATGTCTTGTTTACCGAGGGTTTCCTCATCAGTATTCATACTGTCCTCCCTGAGGGCCCTGCAATCGCATTATTACCCCAGCCATCGGATTTAGGCTTACCCGCACACAGTGTATGCACATTCTCCACTCCCTGGGGAGCATGTTTATTATGTGTAATGTAATGTATAATGATACCGATTAGTGTTCATTTGTAGTAGGTCCATGGTTTAATCAAGACTCACTGATTCCATGCAAAGTGTATGCATAGATGAACCACACCATTTCAAAAGGGTATCAAGGAATGTTAACCCGGATGTGAACGTGTGATAATAAAAATTATATTTGCTTGTATATCGCCTAACACTTACTTTATCAGAAGTCTCTAGGCGCTCTACAATAATGCAGCACAATTACCCTAGCTTTAGTAGCCTCTTGTCGATGCCCTCGCGCTGTTGGAGTCTCTAAATTCTGACTCGCTTCGCTCGTCAGAGAAACCGAGGCGTTTGCGCGGAGGGCCTCTTGACAAGTGATCTGATTTATATATTCATGAGACCCTATTTCCTACTGAATTATGCATGTCTAGACCGCAGCGATTGTGTGTGTGTGTGTACGTGTGTGTTCGGGATTGCCCAACTAGGCTAGTCTGCAAGCACAGACCCTAATTTGACACTTTATCAAAAAATCATTGTGCCTTGAGAGAAGCCTAGCCCAGCTATCTACTGGTACCTACTGGTTGTACCAATATAGGTCAGGAGCAGCTATAGTACATGGCATATGGTAGTCTTATAGTGCACACTCTCTTTTAGGACTGACCAGGGTTTGTGCTTGCAGACTACAACTAGGCGGCCAGTGTCGCTCTCACAGAGCGGTAGATATTACGTCATAGTAGCTCTCTCTGATTGGATGACTATCACCGAACTCTGCTGGGTCGGAATATTCGCCAAACAATGTAAAACATAAGAAATTCAGATCACTTGTCAAGAGGCCCTCCGCGCAAGCGCCTCGGTTTCTCTGACTCGCTTCGCTCGTCAGAATTTGGAGACTCCAACAGCGCGAGGGCATCGACAAGAGGCTATAGCTTTAGCAGAGCAGCTGTCACGCGCTCTGCGTTTCAAGGAATACATTCCAGGTCCCCATTTTCTTCACCTGGGTGGAGTGTGGCAAATGTATATCAATGTCTTGCCAAGGGACATAAGGGCCGCAGCGGGACTTGAACCGCAGACCTTGTGATCGACAGTCCGGCGACGTATCCACTCGACCACGACACCTCTAAGTAGTGGAGAAAACCATGCCTGATAGAGCATTACAACTAGGCAAATTTCAACAATAGACTCTATTCATTTTAGATTTTTATTCATCTATTCACCCGCACACACACAAACTCTCTCCCACACCACACTGCCTCACTGCGTATGCGTCGAATACACCTGCAGGCAAGCACATATAAGCGGACTAGAGTACGTTAACAGGTTATTAGAGTGCAAGCAAGCGACAGAGGTAGAAGTACACACAGAACACAGATTTCTAAACAGATTTCACTGGTGATATAAAAACATCGTCGATATTCAAAATGGGTTCGTATAATTCGACCCAAGAAGATGGCAGAAATCGACCTTACACCATCATCGATGAACAGGGTGAAAGGTAAGTTCTGCAGTTCAAAAACTTTAAAGGGCAATCGAACCCTTGTAATCAATTCATTGGTAGGAAAGCAAATACAATAAGAGAAACAGAAATTGGAACGTTTAGAATAATTCAGGCCAATAATAAGTGAGTTCTGAATGTTGGAAATATGACATCACTAAAACCATACGAATGTCACATTAGCTTTTCGGTCAGCGGATTGTGACGTAGTCCTGAGACAACTCTCCCGTTTGAAAACAAAATACAGTTTAGTTTGCATGCTTGAAAAAGAAAAGTTAGTGATTTGGGGCGAAATTTGTCTTCGGTCATATATCAGTCACATTAGAATGTCTATACTGTGTGAGTCCAAAAAACAGTTTACACTTAGAAAATTGCTGATTATTTTTAAAATCACCTTTGAACAGTAAATTATTATACATCTTATGAAAGAGTGTTTTATCCCAAATCATTTGGTATCATTTTTGTGTGGTATGTGTTCACGCTTGGATGAGGCATTGTTTGCGAGAGAGCGAAAATCGACTTGCACCAAAGTTGCTTATGTGATGTTTGAACAATTGGGATTCGGGTATTAATTCGGTCTTTGCAGATTTTGGTATAAACTGTATACTGGCTGAGTAATGAGCATAGAAAGATTAGGAAATAAAGGTAAGTAGCCCTGACAGCATTTAGGTAGTCCCATATACAGCTTTATGTGTACAGTGCTTGTTACTTTACTAAGACTGGGCCAAATTTATTATGATTTTGATGACTCCAGAACCTTGCAGTACACACCAATACTTACATGCTACGTGATCAACTTTTTCGGATCCATTCCACACCTTTTCTTTCACAATACAATCGCATGACCAGAACTCAACTTTATTTTAAAGTCATAACTAACAGTAATGAGGATTAATGCCTCACAAAAGGGCAATAATGTAGCACATCGACACAGTTTTGATTGTGGGGCCTTGCATAATACAATGATAATGCTCACAAATTGTTTTTAACCTCTTCCCAGAACTCAACCTTCTCTTTAGGTCGTAACTGACAGTAATGGGGATTTAATGCCTCACAAAAGGGCACTCACATCGACACGCTTTTGATTCTAAAACCTAAGAAAATGCAATAAATTATCGATAATTCATTGCTTTTTCCCCCAGTCCCCAACAGAAAAAATACCCTTTGTGTGGCCATGCCGTTAACGATAATGGTACATTAACCGGACATCATATAAACTGGTATATTACCCTAACCCTAACCCTTACCCTTACCCTAGCACTTAACCTAACCCTAATCCTTAATTCAAAACAATATAAATAATTAAACTAATGAATAAAATTAAACTAATGCCTGCAAACGTACGTATAGAGGGCATTACTTCTATTGTTCAATCGTTAACAGGACACACACATGTCCTGCTAATGACCATGTCTACTTAATAGCTCATTTTTTCACTACATTGTGTCCGTCTAATGACGCTGTAATATATATAAGAATTCAAACCGACTAGTAGACCTATCCTGACATCTCTTGATATGAACAGTGGAATTTTATATAAAGACCGCTCAATGGAGACCAACAAATCAGTCTTTATAGACATGTGCTCTTTAAAGGGGGTTTGACTGTATATATAAACTAGATATGAGGCCCACCTCATTTTTGTTTCACAGAATCCTTACCTGTTTTGCCAACCTCAGATGCATCTGATATTGTTTATTTCAAGTACAATCCGAATGGCATGAATGGCCTAATCCTCAAGAAAATCCTCTATAGTCCTTTAAATGACACCGTTAGCATGTTGTTGACATAACGATGATAATGATGAACAGCATTTGTATGGCACCATATATTTGTTTAAAAAGCATTCAAAGGCGCGAGCTCCTCCAACACAAACACTACACTATTACAAGTAGTACACAGCTTTGAGTGCGTTATGGTCGATGCAGCGATCGAGGGTATATATGGTAACAAAATAATGCCCAGTTACGCGATCCATTTTGACGCTTCTCATTGGCTATATTCTTAAAAACATTTTTAACAGTATAATAATATAATATTCGGTTCTTGCATAGCGCATATCATCATATTATATAATATCTCTATGCGCTTCCAAAGAGCTTTGGGAATATTACCCTAGCTTTAGCTCCGGCAGCGGTTATCAGCGCAGTGCATTTCAAGGAATAATCCTACCAGGTACCAATTTACCTCACCTGGGTCGAGTGTGGCAAATATAGATTAATGTCTTGCTAAAGGACATTAGTGCCGCAGCGGGACTTGAACCACGAACCACTTGATCCATAGTCCGGTGACACATCCACTCGACCACGACACCTCTACAAGCGCCTTCTCTAGTCTTACAGTTACACTACACAATATATATTGTCGATAGCACAGCATCATAGATTGTCTTAAAAAGGAAAAGGCCCATCTCAGTCATAAATATTTAAAAATTGACATTTTAATCACTTTTTCCGTTGAAACAAATGCGAGTTTTGTCCGGCATAACGTCACGGTGACAATACCGGTTCAGCCAACTAGAACTGTCCATAAGTACTTAAAGTGATTACAACTTTTAAACAGTCATAACTTCATTGATTTTGTTGCTGTCAGAATTGCTCAAAACTGCTTTCTTTTAGACTAGTTATTTATCATGGCTGAATGGTTCCAATTAATATTTGTTTTACCGCTGGTCACACCTGATCGATAACTACAACCATGACAATGATAACAAGATTTGTGTCTCTAATTAACCATCAACATTATATGTTTGATAACACGCTTACAGAGAATGAGGTTGCACGCAGAAGTGAACCTATTATGTAGATTTTAAAAATAGAAACGTCACTCTGTGTCAAATTTTCCTCTCAAACGTTGTAAATAGCTGGAGGCAATGGGTGTCATTCAATGTACTTAAACGGTTTAGTTTCAGTTGAAGTTCATTTTTTTTCTTCACATTTCACTTTTCTATTTTATAACTAAAATGGTTATAATGTCGACGAATCATTTTATACTTGAAACGTAAATAAGGGCTACAAGTGGGAAAAATATATAGAAAGAAACACAAAACACAGAAGGATTATACTCGAAATCAATGAGAAAATCTCATCAGCCAAGTAAATAAGAATATCAAAGAAAAATAGTGAATAAGGATTCAGGATTTCTACCCTTTGTTGAGATATGACAAAAAGATATCGTGGTCTGTTAAACGCTTACAATATACATTGAAAACACATGCAATCAAGATCGAGGTCCTAGCCGAATTTCCCCGACAGTCCCCATTCATCTTCTTTCAATTTGGTAAGGTATAGATTCGAGAAATATTAACTTGCAAAGAATTTATTATCTGTTTCACTTACTCGGCAGGATGGTTCCTTTACAATGCATAATCATAAAGACCTCGCTAGAAAGAAAAAAACAGTATGTGGCATTCCACTAGACTGTTATTAAAATAGTGCCATGCAGCTGCAGGCGCGTACGCAGGGGCGGTGTTTTGAGGGTTAACCCACCCCCCTCAACTTTTTTTTAGGGGAGGGGGGGGGGGGGGTCAAGGGGAGAGTAAAAAAAAAGTTAAGCTCCTTAACCCCCCCCCCCCCCCCCTCCCCTCCCCCTGAGCGAATTACCGGTCGACGCAATTTTCTAATTTCTGAGGAAAACAAAGTGGGTGCTCATTAAAATTTGTGATAATCTGAAAGTTTGAGTGGAAAAACAGATCTTAAAATTGGGAAAAACTGATCTGATCGATTCCTTAATTCTCCACACTATATCATTACAATTTAATGACATTTTAGGTGAATGTAAATCGTCACAAAGCAATGAATTGGCTTTATATACCATTCCAGGCATTTAAGTGTTGAAAGATTTTTTAAATCCTGTCTTATGTCTTATTTTCATAGAAAACGGTTGGGACAATCCAAAAATGTTTGGGATATTTTACTGTATTAAGACGGTGTCGCACAGTGACGCCCTTAAAGGAAACCATAAATATCTTTGTGGTTTGAGAGTTTTTTCAGGTTGTTGTGCATGTTAGAGGGTGAGTAGGAATATAATAAGCAACGTTTCATCCAAACATTACGCATTTTTTTCATCAACCTTTTACAATGTTACCGAGTCACTTCAAAAGGTTCAGTTTTACTTTAAGTTCAGTTTTATTTTTCACATTTCACTTTTCGAATGTATAAATAACAAGGTAATATGTCTACGATTCCTTCTACTTGGCACCAAAGTGGGCAAAATAGAAAGAAGAAAAACACAGGAGGGTAATACTCGAAAAGAATGAGAAAATCTCACCAGCCAAGTAAATCATAATCTCAAAAAAGAATAGTGAATAAGGAAAACTTAGTGGAGATGTAGAAGGAAAAAAGAGAAAGAAGGCGTGACCCACTACCATGCATGGCGACTAGAGCTTATTACCAACATGTAGAAAACTACACGGTATATCTATATATTAAACATGTCTTTTTGAGTGCATTTACTATAGACATTAAAGCCAGGCGACCTTGTTATAAAATAGAAATTTACTATTCTTCTTGAGGTTTCATTCCCGATTCAGGATTTATACCCTTTGTTGAGATATGACAAAAAGATACGCTTACAATATACATTGAAACCACATGCAGTCAAGATCGAGGTCCTTGCCGAATTTCACCGACAGTCCCCATTCATCTTCTTTCAGTTTGGTAAGGTATAGATCCAAGAAATATTAACTTGCACAGAATTTATTATCTGATTTAATTACACGGCAGGATGGTTCCTTTGCAATGCATAATCATAAAGAAATCGCCAGAAAGAAAACACAAATATTTTCGCATTCCACTAGACTGTTATTCAAACTGTGTCATGCAGCTGTAATCTCGCCTACGCCGCTTCTCATAAGAGGAATATACACACAAGAAAAAAAATGTCATTCAAATAACAATTCCATAACCCCTAAAATCATAGTAATCGGGCAAACAACTGTGGTAAAATAAAAAGTACTTATGTCTAGAAGTTCTTCTGTTTAAAATGAGGTAAATATCATTCTATATCACAGTCATACTTTTGAAGCACTTCTTACAGTGCCAGAAGGTTTGTGCATTTATTTGTTTGAAGATGTTTACATATTTATCTAGGAAGATGGGTTGTGGTCCATTTGCCACACTCCACCCAGGTGAAGTTTATGGGTACCTGGTAGGTAAAGTGCTCGAGCGCTGTAATGGCAGCCGGGCTAAAAAGCCGGGGTAATGATAAGGCACATCAGGAATGGCAACGTACGAGGCATGCTGTACAAGCAAGATTCCATTATAAGGTTCACAAGGTTTATATTTGTTGTCGATTAAACAATGGAAATTCGTGGTATTTATATGGAATATGAATACACATATTAACATATACATTCGTACAAAAAGACAAATTTGATGCAATAGATCTGAATTTACAGAAAAACAAAACAAAGGAAAATAATTTAACATAGATATAGTTATGCATCGAAAATAATAAACATGTAAACAAAGTGAGGTGTTTAGTTATAGTTATTTATCACTATTAGTAGTAGTAGTAATAGTAGTAGTAGTAGTAGTAGTAGTAGTAGTAGTAGTAGTAGTAGTAGTAGTAATAGTAGCTGTAGAAGTATTACTATTGGTCTGATTATTATTATTATCATTATCATTAATTTTATTTTTAGTAGTAGTAGAAGTAGTAGTAGTAGTAGTTCATGTAGTAGTAATACTATTGTAATTGTTATTATATTCATCATTATTGTGGTTGTTATTACCACTACCCTACTATTATTAGTGGTAGTTGAAATAGTTGAAATAGTAGTAGTAGAAGTAGTTGTAGTAGTAGTATTAGTAGTTGTTGTTGTAGTAGCAGTAGAAGTAGAAGTAGAAGTAGTAGTAGTAGTAGTAGTAGAAGTAGTAGTAGTAGTAGCAGCAGTAGGAGTAGTAGTAGAAGAAGAAGAAGAAGAAGAAGAAGAAGTATTACTATTGGTATAATGATGATAATTATTATTACTATTATCAGTAGTAGTAGTAGTACATGTAGTAAGCAAATAACTACCGTTGGTGAAGGTGATGGGACAAACTATCACTTCCGAGGCGATCTGGATGTAGCTATCTTTCCGAAGCGAAGCTGAGGAAAGATAGCGTATACATTCTGATCGACGAGGAAGTGATAGTTTGCCATCGCCTGAAACCAAAAGGTGATTATTTGCTTTATATTCTACATATAAAACAATTTAACTACAAAAAGAAAAGGACGTGTGTACATCTAGACCCTACATGAAAGACACCAGGCCCAAATTCACACCAAACAAGTTAAAAGTTTAACCTAACCCCTTGAGGGTACGGTGCGCGCATGTGTTTGCTTTAATTGCGCTCATTGGTAATGCGCGCTCAATTACGCCTGTTTTAGTGCGCTTTTGGATAATCTTCAGCGAAAGTGCGTTGCCCTGTGTAGATAGTACCTCTATCTTCAGTGAAAGTGCATTGCACTGTGTAGATAGTAGTACTATCTACACAGTGTAACGAACTTTAGCTTCTCCAATCAATAATGGGCGAACTATCTTTCATCACGTGATTTACTTTTGACCAATCGTAGAGCAAGATTCTTAGTATGTGGAATATAATAGATATTATTACCATTATTCAACATTACTATCATCATTGTCAAAATACAATCATCATTAATATCGTCCCTATCAACTTTAGCACCGGCAGAGTTACAATAATCATCATTATCACGTTTCAATGTTACTCATTGGAATACATTCGTGTTCACCAGTATAAATCTCGTTATTATTTATTTCCTAGTTCGGCGAAAGATGAAGCCGACGTCACAGCAACGACCAGCCAACCCACCCAGTCTGGGAACGACATAATTGAAGACGAGTTCGCAGACATCGATGAGATTCTTAAAGATTTTGACTTCCCGTTTGAGAACCTTATTCTCGAAGGCGGCGGCGCCCAAGGAAACGCTTATATCGGCGCCATAATTGTGAGAAATGGTGTTAAAATGTCTATTGGTGTTAACATGTTGTCTGCTGAATTCATTCACTGCCATAGGCTTAATACAGGGGTCACCCGGTTCCAGCAGGCAATGGGTTCCCAGTTTACGGAGTCATATAGAGTACCTAAGCTGTGACATCATAACAATCTATCTTTAGAATTTCTCAATTTTTTCTTCATTTTTCGAAAGAGCATCAAAAATAATGACCGAATGTCGAATACCAATTAAATATGTTAAAGACCGTCAATACTACTGGGCCAGAAGGGATTATACCACACAGCAAGATCGCTGACAGGTTGCTATCTCATTAACCCAGCTCTCAACTAACATAAGAAAAGAGGATCATGGGGGACCTACAGGCACCGATTGGGGAAGTTTTCTATATAGAAGGAGCAAGTAGCTACAAGTAGGACAGTGGGGCTTTAAGTATTGGCGGAGATATGACCATCTAAAATAAATAGATCTCCTATACGAACTCAGTGTTATATTGCTCTGGCTGGTAATGTTATGATTGAGAAATTCCAAAAATATATATTTTTTTGATGACGTCACACTTCACCATTCTATTAGTAGTACGAGAAATAGCTACAAATAATGGTATAAGGAATAGTGGTAGTAATAGTAATGGTTTCATATCTTGTCATATGCGTCGGAACAGCAAAAGGTGTCGTAAAGCCATCCTCTTTTTTTTAAGGAAAATAATTTCATAAAAAGACGAAATTAGAAAGAGACATCCGCAAAATAACAAAGCGATAAGCAAAGTGTATAGGAGTGTAAAAAGGAGCAGAAAATGATAGAAGTATAAGCAGCAGCAGCAGCCATAGGAGTAGAAATAGTTGTAGTTGTTATTGATACAATGAAGTGGTATGGTATGGTGTTATATCGTATTTATTTTAGAATAAACTGGAAAAGTACATATAAAATCAAGAATACTGTGAATGGCTGGATAGCCCATTCAGCTTTTTAATATGACAAAACTATTCTTCCTTTGAGTCCAGAAAATTAAATGAAAAGGGAACTTTAGTGGCAAAATTGAGGACATTTAGTAACAGTAGTAATAGTGGTAGTAATAGCAATAATAGCAATAATATTAATATGTATAATAAATAGTAATAATAATAATAATAATTATTAGGCTAATACATAATAATGATAATGATAATAAGGATAATGATAATAATAGTTATAATAATCGTCGTCAAAGTTGTTGAAGTAGGAGCAAAAGCTAGAAAAATGAGTAATTGATAATTTAGAGGGATTAGGTATTGTTGGTAGGAACAGCATATATTTACACCATACAACCATGTACTATTACAGGAGATGGAACAGCGTGGTTACTTGGAAAAGCTTACTCGATTCGGCGGTGCCAGCATAGGAGCGTTTACTGCTTGTTACCTCGCCGTGGGACATGGACCAGAAAAATTCCTCAAAATTCTCAACGAAGGCCCGCAAATCATCGATTTGTTAGGTAAGGAAAAGCAGCACAGCTTTTGAAGTACAAACCTATTTTATAAAACAAAACTAGGGGTAGGGGAACTCGGCCCGCCCCCTTTTCATATCTCTAACATGCATACCTCAGAGTCATTATGACACAATCGTAACTTCAACCTAGGCCAATTTCTGTAGCCTTGTATAACGGATAGAGATTCTATACAAGAAGCCATTATAGAAGTTGTTTTAGTTATTGTTGTTGTTCCTCCTCTTATTATAATTGTCATAATTATTATCATTATTATCATCATCATGATTATTATTGATATCAAAGGAGGCGCGTCTATATCTTTCTCATTCATCCTGTTACATTTGTTACAGATGCTACACTCGGGGGTTGTAGCATATAGTAGGTCCATGGTTGTAGTATGGTAACAAATCTCGTGGGACACATCGGATGGCAACCTGGATATGATGTCACCCAGTTTGTTGGTGTATCCATAGTTTTCGAAAATATCAACCTTAGGCAATTTCAGAAGCCGTGAATCATTTGGATTATTTATTATAAAAACTGCACATGTAAAATACATAAATTACAATTAGAACTGTACAATATCAAATTATAACATTTAACATAATTTATGCATGGTTTTAGAAAATGATAAAAATCAACTATAAAAATAAGTTAAACAAAAAATGGGAATACGTTAACTGAATATAATATTACACAAAAGAATTAATGATAAGTATACTAACACTGCATTATAAGCATGGTATGGTAATGGAGTCAGGTAACATCACAAAAACTGAATCATAATAGATAGTGAGAAGAAAACTATGATAAACATGAAAGAACTAGATGCTACACAAGAAACCATCATTTATTTTTTTGTTTGTTGTTTAATTATTATCATTATTTAATCATTTTACATTTGTAACAGATGCATCATTTGGAAGGTGTAGTATGGTACCAAACTTGTTCAGACACATGGGATGGCATCCAGGCAAAGCTATCGACAAGTTTCTTGGTGACTCCATAAAAGAGAAACTGGGAAACCCGGATGCAACCTTCAAGGTAAATCAGGGTGTCGTTTTACGCATCCGTTATTACTACAAGTTCCCCATCATCTGATTCAAACGCATGTAAAACCATATTCACGTGTTTCAATGGCATGTCGCCGAATATGCGCTTATGAATGTTTCCCAGATTCTGACCGTTTGGGTGAATAGTTTATCTTGTGTATGTGTTTGTGTTTGCGTGTGTAAATGTGAGGATGTGTGTACGCGCTAGCTGCATGGCGTTTCCTCGGAATACGTATTGCAATATTCCAACAAGTTTCAAGTTTCAAGTTTATTTCACACTTCACAAATAAAAAGAAGTTACATAATTGACAAAAATAGAACATAATATGAAATATACTAAAAGTGTCACATTATATAATTAATTCTTGGAAAAGACGTCGAAATTAATTGTAATGAATATAAGGTTATACAGAGTGAAATGTGAGTAACCTATCAAAAAGCTTAGCTTGTAGATTATAGGTTCCCATAAATAAAACTAACATTTGGTTGAAGTAGTTGTAATGGTAGAGGACGTAACAGTAATAATAGGTGGGCAAGAAGCCTTAACATAAGATGATTATACATCGTGAAACAAGCAAAAATAGCAAAAATAGCAAATACAGCTAGCAAATTAATTTGTTACCGAAGAGATGAGACAATAGTCACTTTGAAATATTGAGGTCATTAAACGAGGTCATTGAACGAGGTCACCCGAGCGAGGCAGTAGACATGAACAATCATGTTACAGTAGTGTATACAATAATGTAGACCGTAGCCCAGACACGATCCTGTTTCCAAAATGCATTCGAACACACGCACGTATGCTCCCAGAGAGCCCCAAGGCACGCAAACGCATTCACCCGCGCCACGCCTCATGCCTCCCCACAGTATCACCTGCATGAACCAGCTTACAGCAGCAGCTGTTGCCAGGCCGGAAAAGTCATATGGGTTGTCCGACCTAGCAATGACCGATTCATGCCGACGACCCCAGCAAGAAAAACAAGGACGCGGCACATCTAGGCAAGCACGTTTGCATGCCCGAGGGCCCCCCGAGAACAGGCGCGCATGCATAAGAACATAAGTATAGGAGAAGGCCGGAATGTACAATGTATAGAATATCATAATAATTGAATTTCAAAGTCAAAGTTGGTCATATGAATTTAAAAAGAACCGTCTAAGCTTACTCTTGAAACAATTTAACGACGGGGATTCTTTTATCTCCTTGTTAAGCGCGTTCCAAAATGTTGGTCCTGAATGAATTATTGCTTTGAGTGCAAATACAGTGCGGACGCGGAAAAGGTGAAAATGGTCAATTTGTCTGGTGGGATATGGGTGGACGGCATTATTTTTTATGAACATGGGAGTAAAGACATTGGGTAAATCACCTTTGTTTAGCTGGTACATGACGATGCCAAGACAGTAATAATATAAATCAGATATTTTGAGTATGTTGTCAGTACGAAAATATCCATCAGTATGCGAGCGAAAATCAGCAAAGTTAATTGTTCGTATTGATCTTTTTTGAATAATGAAAATTTTATTAATATTTACTTTCGAGCAGTTCCCCCATGCTAATATACCATAATTTAGATAGGGTGATAATAATGTAGCATATAGGGTATGTAATACATGAGAAGGAAAATAACATTTCATTTTATATGTAATACCTGTATTTCTTGACAGAATTTTACACAAATAATGAATATGTACATTCCATGATAATTTACTGTCAATGTATAGGCCGAGAAATTTTGATGAATTTGTCTGGGCCAAACTAAGTCCATTTATTTGAATCTGCCCTGGGGGGTGTTTTACAAAGATCCTAAGTCGAACTTAACTCTAAGTTGGACTTAAATATTATGGAGAGCCATTTGTAGCCTTAAAATAAAATATATTCAAAAGCAAAAATTCAAGTATTTTAGACTTTTTATAAATTCCACATCAAGAACATGAAATCTCCTTGATAATAGACAATATGAAGGATTTGAATCAACATTTTATGCCTTTTAAAATAATTTTTACAAAATGTTTTCAATGATGCTAACGGCTTTCCATAGTTGTTAGGTCCAACTTAGAGATAAGTTCAACTTAGGATCTTTGTGAAACACCCCCATGGAAGAGTATTTAATGTGTTACTAAAAAGCATAAAATTAGTCTTATTCAAATTGAGAGACAGTTTGTTAGCCTGTATCCATTCAAATACAAAATTTAGTTCATAATTCAAAATATCAAGAAGCATGTTTGGGTTTTTGTGAGAAAGAAATATATTTGAGTCGTCTGCGAAGAGGAGAAACGAGAGAACTGTTGATGAGTTTTGGAAATCGTTGATGTAAAGAATAAAGAGGAGTGGGCCAAGGAGGGAGCCTTGTGGTACCCCGCAAGATATTAATTCTGAGTTTGAGTTTTGGTTATTAATGGACACAAATTGGGTTCTACCAGTAAGGTAGCTTCGGAACCACTCCAAGGCCTTCCCACGGATCCCATAATGGGATAATTTGTAAAGTAGAATTTCGTGGTTAATTGTGTCGAAGGCCTTGGAGAAGTCCAGAAAAATACCAACAGTATGAGGCATATTATCGATGGCTTTTGCTACTTTATCAATTAATAATATTATTGCGTGCGTAGTTGAATATTTTTGGCGAAAACCGAATTGAGAATTTACCAGGATGTTGCAGGTGTTTAAAAATCGGATGGTGCTTGAATATATTAATTTTTCGAGTAATTTGAAAAATAAGGTCAGCAAGGATACTGGGCGGTAATTGGCTACATCATCGGCATCACCCTTTTTATGGACTGGAATTACCTTAGCAAGTTTCATTTTACTTTTACTTCCATCTACTAAGGACAAGTTAAACACAAATGTCAATGGAGAGATTATTTTATAGATAATAGTTTTGAGGAGAAAATTTGAGATACCATCACAGCCAGAGCTTTTCTTAACATTTAAGTTATTCACGATATCAATAATCTCAGTTTCATGTATGGGTACAAGAAATATTGATTGAGGATTTGGGTTTCCTAGGCACGAGTGGAAATAATTATTCGTGACAGGGATTTTACTGGCAGGATCCGGTCCTATATTTACAAAAAAAGAGTTGAATGCCTTTGCTATGCCGAGAGGGTCTTTTATGTCGTTTCCGTTGGAGACGATCTTACTGAATTCTATTTTTTTCTTTTCACCTTTCCTGAGAACATTGTTGATAATTTTCCAGGTTGACTTTATGTCTTTTTTATGAGTGGTGAATTGGGTTGAATAGTAATTTTTTTGCCCTACGTATTACAGATGTCAGGGAATTACGATAGGAAGAATATTTTAGCTTGGATGCATCTGTTCTTTTAGATTTGTATTTGTAAAAAAGATTATTTTTCCGGTTAACAAATTTTTCTGGTTAACAAATTCCTCCTCCCAGAAATTCCAGGATAAGCATGCCTGTGTAATGTTGTGCTCCCTTCATCTCTCTCGTTCTCTCTCCTCTTTCTCCATTACATAACAGTCCATATTTCCTTTTTTTTGTTTTACTTCACTGAATCGGTACCTTTACATTGTGTCCAGTCATTAGCCTACGTGTTCATGTGAATGATGTCTCTGTTGGCTTATCCTTCTTCTTTTGTTTGTTTATCGACTTGAACTTTTCTCAGTTATCATTTTATGTGGGGTCCACAATTTACAAGCTCTTCTTATTCACTGAACCTCCCAAATTTCAGCAGAATATACATCAAGGTTCAATTGCATTAATTCTACCTTTTCATGATCAGATATATATTTTTAAATTGAAATTTCTTTATTTCAAATGAGGTCTGGTCATGCGATTGCATTGTGAAAAAAACGTTGTGGAGTCGATCAGAAAAGGTATTGATATGTATTGCAAGGTTCTGGAATCATAAAAATGATAAGAAATTTGGCCCAGTCTTGGTAAAGTTACAAGCACTGTTCACAGAAAGATGCATATGGGACTACACGAACATGTGGCCTAAAAATCCGTCCGGATTTGTATGATGTAACATGCCATATTTAGAATATTAAGGCATTTGAAGAGCCATGCTTTTCAGGGAACATGTTGTATCTGATGTTCTTCCCCACTTGCATAATACAATGATAATGCTCAGAATTTTTTTTCACCTCTTCCCAGAACTCAACCTTCTCTTTAAACATACATAAACAGTGCGTCCCAGAAAAAACGAAACCGAGAATTATCGATTTTTTATCATAACTTAGTAACTTTTAAAATTACTAAATGACACATATTTGGAAAGCTTAGATCGTCTTCTTTCATTTCATGCAACTCATATGATGCATATTTCACGCATGAGCGATTAAATAGAATTTGAAGAGAGGAAACCGAAAAATCATTTGGCGGACGGTATCTAAATTTCAAAAACAAAATCACATTTCTAGAAAGTTGCGGTTCTGCATATTGCACATCAATCAGGAAAAATGAGCAAGGAATGACAAAGTTCTGTTTGTTTAAATTAGTGCTTGCATTTCCATAATTTTATCAAACGAATTCGTTTTCACTGGGTGTCTGCCGTAGCAACATGCAGAATTTACAACAGACTTAACTCCATTTCGTTGACAATCAGCCGTAGACGAAAGACGTCATGCATGGCTGATTGTTGCATCAAATGAAAGAGGAGGATCTAAGCTTTCAACAAATGTGTAATTTATCAATTATAAATGTGATTAAGTTATGATGAAACATCGATGATTCTCGGTTTCGTTTTACTGGGACGCACTGTATATTTATATATATATATTTATATATATATATATATATATCTTTCATATTTGAACAGGATCTTTACGACAAGACGGGGAGAGAACTGTGCGTCGTGGTTACCAACCTCAGTACGATGATGGAGGAATACTGCCACGTGAAGACCACACCAGACATGCCTATGCGACTCGCAGTCAGAATGTCCACATCTATACCAGGCAAGTTTTGTTATGCATCCGTTACATTTTTGCGTATTTGGCTTGCGTATTGCTGCGTATTTATGGAAAGCCGTTTTAACATTTATTCCTATTTCTTGATATCAAGACATCGAGACCATTGCTTTACAAAAAAATAATAATCTTGATTTCAAGAATTGATAGGATACGCCTTCAGTTTTATAACCAATATGTTTTATGTAATCGGGCAAGGAATAAGGAAGTTAAAGCTTTTTTTTAAATGACTAGTCACTAGAGGGCTTTATTCAATTTGATGACATCATTTGTGGACAACTCTCCATGCCTTTTGTACATCAAATTTCACAATTCTTTCGTTTTTTTCCTATTTATTTGTGTTCTTGATCGGATTTCATAACATGTGAAGTAGAATATCATTTTGCATTCTATTAATATTATCTCAATCACAAGAAAGAAGGAAAAACATGACATTTGATGTAAAAAAGGCGTGGAGAGTTGTCCACAAATGATGTCATCAAATTGAATATCGCCCTCTAGTGACTAGTCATTTCAAAAAGCTTTAATTTCCTTATTCCTTGCCCGATTTTGTTCAAATTTTCACTGATTTTATTCAAATATCTTAAACTTTACAATAAAAGTAACTTGTATGAAGGTTTTGGTTTGGGTGTGTACATGTATGCAGTGAAGATTTTATAAATCTGTTTGTGTGTTCCTACTATGAGTATTGTGCTGCTAATTATTTCAGAACAATATTTTCAGTTATGAGGCTAAAAACAAGTAAAATTATTAATAAATAGAGAATTAAAATCATATTTCCCGTTTTTTACATATTTACCGGACGCGCATCTAATTTACCGGACGGTATTTACCAGTATTTACCGCAACCGGTATTTACCGCCCAACCCTGACCAAAAGACGTTAACAGATGGGAGTTGTTTCTACCTTGTTTGGCGTTCAACAATAAGGGACAGAGCAACGATCTGGCGCTGTTATTGGCTGCCGGGCTCACGATCAATTGGGCAAAAAGAACTTCCGTTTCGGTTTAATAAAAATTGGAGTGGACTATTAGGCTATTATTATTATTATTATTATTATTATTATAATTCGAAGTAACATGATCATACAAGCTTCGAGGGACCGACTGGAGGGCAATTTCAATTTTCAGATTACATAATGACATGTTCAACAAATTCAAAAGATGACGCATGAGGCTGTTGTATGTTAGTCATTAATTTATTTTCCACAATCCATTAAATGAAAAACATGCCTAATACTAAAATAAGCCCACTAAATAGTTGATATATATCGGTATATATACATAAACATATATATATATATATATATATATATATATATATATATAGTTATCCTATGCAAACTTATTTATGTGAAATGCATAATAAATTCGTTTTCGAGGGTTGGCAATAAAAAAAAAGAATAAACAGTAGAAACAGACTCTGAATAAGGAAATAAACAGCCTGTTGGATTCATTTTGAAGCATTATCTTCCAAGACCCGACAGCTTTATCTGTGACATCCATATAAATATCGTCTATGATCACTCTGAGATGGTAGATAATCTGAGATGGTTGAAGAAATTCCATTAAACAAATTATTGATTATAAATATATTTGAAGATACGTTGCTTGTTTACATTCCCAGTCTCTCTCTCTCTCTCTCTCTCTTATTCCGTTCAGGTGTATTATTTCCCGTTACGCGAGCAGACAATGACCGAAACGACATGTACATTGATGGGGGCGTCATATGCAATTACCCCGTCCATTGCTTTGATGGTAAGAGATATTACTACTAATAATAGCTCACATTTATAATGCGCCTAGTACTTTATTTCTAGACGCAGCACATATCATTACCCCGTTCATCGGATTCAGGCTTATGCTACGTTTACACTATGTTCCTGGCGGCCACGGCAGCCCCGTTTGCCCGAAACGTAGAGCGCCGTGGGATTGAGGCCAATTGTATCCCTGTATTCAAGTATTGTTAGGTCTTGCCAAGTTTTCTCACGGTCTGTCACGGTATCCATGACGGGCCGTGGGGGATGCTGTTCTCTCTCGGCCCGTCACAATTTGATGGGGTCCCTCACGTTTCTCACGTTCTGATCAAGGTCCGACACGTTTTTCACGTTCTGTCAAGGCTTTCTACGGATAAAACGTGGACGCCGGGCAGCTTTGGAGCACGTTTGTGCCCACGGTATAAAAAGAAGGCCTCCCAAGCAAAAGCCATCATTTGATCCTGAGATTTTGACGAGACAAGTGACGATAAATCAAGTCTTTATTAGAGATCATGCATACGCAAAAAACAGGCCCGTCAACCCAGTGGGTTAGGCGGCAGGTTATAATCAATACGATATACAATAGCAAAGTACATTAACAATAATAATACAAATATTCGTCATTGCAATTACAATGTAACAATTTATGTGATAACACGGAGCACCGGGATAGAGAGAAAGGTAAAGGGAAGAGGTGAAAAGGAGAAAAGGAGAGAAAAGGAGAGGAAAACAGAAGTGGTATAGTACAGAACAGGATAAAAGAAGAAGATTGTAACATTATGATGAGGAAGGAAAGATCCCCATACATGATACATTAATCAATAGTGGTATAATTGAATGTGTCACTTAATTTCTTATCCACGAATTCATCTTGACTATACTAAAGTATTCTGTCAGAATGATCGTTAGGTCGTCAGCTGCTGACTTCGGGGTAATAATACCGGCACCAAGATCGTGGTGTAGCAATGTTAAACGGTCTTTTATCGCGGCATTGTTGGGTTGCCATTCGGTGGCCCTCAGATTTAGGACGTTGAATCTCAGGAAATTAGCCTGGAATGTGAAGAATAATAATAACGATCCAATGAGCACGTATGGAGGCATTGCGGCTGTTAGGTGTTTCGTCGCCTGTAGTTGGAGGGTATGAAAAATCGAGAGTTCCGATATAAATAGAGTGAAGATATATGATAAACGTTCCTTTTCAGGGCTCCAGGTTCATATATAAGTCACCAAACGAAATATGACATATGATCACAAGACTACAGAATTGATGATATTAGTATACCAGTAACAGCAAGCACAAATAACAATCTGTGGGGGGGGGGGGCTGCCAATACCAAAGTTGCAGAGATTTGCAGTGGTGTGATTACCAAGCTACCAGCGCCATTTCATAAATGCCCAAGATGAAGAAGATCTATTGTTTGCATGTTTGCTGGGTGCATACATCCAGTCTTTGCGTCAGCAAGAAGAAGGCCAACATCAGTTGCAGGGAGGGAAGGCCAGAGTGAAGCAGGTAGGAAGAAGGCGGATGAGAAGGCCAAGACCCGTGTGGGTGCGCGCAAATGGTTATCGGAAGACAGCAGCAGTTGGGCCACTACTCATCATTTCTCACTAGAGAGCTCCCCATCGAAGATGTCAACGCCTTCCAGAACTATCTGAGGATGCCTGTAGAGCTCTTCGACGAGATCATGGGAAGAGTAACAACAGCCATCAAGAGACAAGACACACAGTTCCACTCTGCGCTCCTCCTAGCAGGTCCATCTTCTTCAGCCTCATAAGCCTCAGGTTCAGGTTCCAGTTCAGGGACCGGGTCAGCAGCAACAGCACGCTCCTCATCATCTGGCGGTGGCGGCGGTCTTATATACTCCCTCCCAGGCATGGCGCGCCGTGTCAGACCGAAGTAGTGTCACGTTTGCCCATACGGTCCCCCGAGTTGTCTCACGTTCATCCCGTTTCGTCCACGGTGGTCTGAAACGTGGTTGCCGTGGCCGCCGGGAACATAGTGTAAACATACCATTACCTGTAACACAATATATGCACATGTTTCACTCCCTTGGTATCATTCCAGCCAGTCGCCATTTTACAAGCGCCACTTACTAATCCAACCACATTAACTTTTTAACACCTGGGTGGAGAGTGGCAAATTTAAATCAATGTCTTGCGAAAGAACACATTTAGTGGCTTGAACCGCGGACCTTGTGATCTATAGTCCGGCGACGTATCCACTCGACCACGATACCTCTACATTGGCTAATACATCACATGATTGTGATAGATTACCAGTTTAAATCTCACTAAACTTACTGGGTGGAAAACACCTGACGATATTTCGTTATAGCGAGAGGTTACATACGTACATGCTAATTTATGTATTTGAATCAAAGCATCAGATAAGAAGAGGGGCATAATTTGAATATGTTGAGTTCTGCTGTTTTAAAAGAAGAAAATTAGCTGTTCCAACTTCCTGCCTAAATTTCCTGTCTACATTATATTAAGTTGAGTTGTGTTCATGTATTGGCCAGTGTATGGTGTTCTTTTTTAATTGTTGCTGTTTGCTTGTTTACTTTATTGATTTGATTGCCATCAAAGTTCTTACCGGTATGCATTTTTAAGAGTCAATTATTGTGACTGATGGAAATGCCTTACAGTTGTGGTCAAAAGTCATAAAACGCCTGAAAAATATTTCCGGTCTCCAAACAAGACGATTTTGTTTATATTTTTATATTGGGATTAACATATTTCATGATCATCATCAGGACAGTGATCATACTAGATCAGGAAAATCTTGATTGACATATTGGTGGAATTATTGTACAGGGTGGCCAATAACAATCCAGCCGAGGACTGCAGCATTTCCCGAAATGTCTTGCTGATTTAATCATGTAACCCCTTGTTAAAATGGGGATTTTCTTTGAGAAAGATTCATAACCAGATTTTTACTTATGCGTCCATGCAATGCTGTATGTTTTTGTTATGCTGATTAATAACTGAAAATCATTGCTAAAATGTTCTTGTTTTGTGCCAATGGTTTGCTAATCTTCCTGATTTCACCATGAAAGCCTTTTATCATTTATATTAATTCGTTTCTATTCTATCACATATCATAAGAAAAATGCTGTCACAAAATGAAAATGTCACAAATGTTCATCACCTCAAAGGCAACAGTATGTCGGTTATGAGCCTTGAAATCGGAACCTAGCCGTATTTAAGTTCTTGGTCTCCCCATTCTGCAAATGCTTTTTTTTTAATCTGAGAAGATGATAGAATTCTTTAATGAGATAGCTAATTTTAAGTTTGTATACGTTGATGTTCATTTGTTGACTGTTAGAATTTAATGTTGATTTTGACAAAGTGTGTATAAATATACACCAGAGGCTGGCGATGGAATAAGTCATAACGCTCATACTCTGTTTCATATCTTGCCTTGCCATTCACCTATAAGAAAAAGAAGCATGCATTTTTAAAATTCTGACAGGAGCGATTTCATAGCAATGTAATTTTCAAAAGTGTAATGTGTTTTTTATTTGTTACTGAAACAAACTTTATTTTAGACTCGGTAACACCTCAATAATACGATAAATGTATTACTTTGTCATGGGAAGATGTACGCGTCTAGCACAGCCTCATGCAGTCTGGTCATGAATACAACAAAAAGAAAGCCTGTAAACGGTCATAATGTCCCTTTTAAAAATATATATTTATGGCAATGTACATTGGTGTGTGTATGTGTTTTTTTGGATGTTGCCACAAACCCGTGTTAGTTTGTGTACACAGGCGTGGATCCAGGGGGCCGAGCGGCCTTCCCCCCCCCCCCCCCGCAATAAAAAGAGAGAGAGGGAGAGAGAAGGAAAAGAGGAGAGAAAGGGAAAGAAAGAAGAGTAAGAGGAAAAGAAAAAGAGGAAAAAAGAAGGAGATCGGGGGGGGGGGGGGCGAAAGGGCCTTGCCTCCTAGCTGTTACCCCCCCCCCCCCCCCATCAAAAAATGAGAAGGAAGGGAAGGGAAAGAAAAAAGGACAAGAGGAGAGAAAGGGAAGGAAAAATAGGAAAAAGAAATGAAGGGGATATCAGTTGCAATTTTCCCGCCAAGTTGTAGTTGGGGGAGGGGCAAAAAGGCCCCTGCCCCCCCCCCCCCCCCAAAAAAAAAGGGGGGGGGTAAGGGAAAGGGAAAGAGAAGAGCTAAAAGAGAACAAAAAAAAAGAGGAAGAAGAAAAGAAGGGGAGAACAGTTGCGATTAATCCCGCCAACAATGTGTGGATCAGGGGGGGGGGGCGAAAGGCCCTTGCCTCCCCCAGCAAACCTCAAACATAGAGAAGGAAGGGAAAGGAAAGGGAAAGAAAGAAAGAGAAAAAAGAAAGGTAGGGAGATCAGTTACGATTTTTCCTGCGAACAAGGTGTAGATCGGGGGGGGGGGGGGGCACTGGCGTACTGATTGGGGGGGGGGGGACAGATGTCCCCTAAATATAATTCAAACGTGGTTTATTTCTTATTCCATACCGGTGATTTACAAATGTTCCTGAAATGACATAATTTTCCGAGATTTTTCCTCAATGTTCAATTAATTATCCTTTTTTAACCCTAATAAGGCCGGGCTATTTGAGGTCTTAGTATGGCCGGGGGGGGGCATTATGCCCCCCCCCTTAAAGGGATCCGGTAACTTTGTCTCAGATTCTGAAACAAAATTCTGGATTTAGTTCATGATGCAATGATAATTATAAACCTTTAGGTCAGTCAGGAACCCCATGACTTTTACGAGCCGATCGCCTGTCTGATTATCAAGATATTTATGATTGGAATTACAAATTTTGAAAACCGTTCGCCTGACGGTTATCATAACACTACAGTCTATTGGGGAAAACGAGTATGGTAAAACCGGTCACTCAAAGATTTTTACTTTTTTGAGGCACTTCTTGATCATTTTGAAGCGCGATTTTTTTTAGGGCTTCAACGTTACACCATATCACAGACACTGATAACATGTAGGACCGTGTATCTCAGATTTAACATTGTTAAACGATCCCTTTAAGATCTCGGCCGCAAAGCGGCCGATTGCCGCGAAAATTTGCACGCATGTTAAGTGAAGTGTATAGAATAATATGATAATTTCAATTTTTTGAAAAATTCACTCATTTGCATATTTATGGTAATTTATGCAAATAAAGTCATAAAACTCACATTTTTACCCATAAATCATATATTATTCTTAATTAGGTATTCTTTTTCACTACATATATTCATTAGACCATTCTGAATAATAATACAACAAAAAAAATTGGAAGAGACAGCTTATTTCTTATGTTATCCCTTGTTTTTATAATTTCTTATGTATTTCATTGTTTTTTTAAACTTATGTATTTCATTGTTTTTGTTGTTTTATTTCATTTCTTACTACAATTCAACTATTTTGACGCCCAAAACAACCACCTAAACTTTAAACAAGACCCAATAACCCATGTTTGATCTGTTTTTAGGCAAAATGACTTTTCCATATGTTTTGTACACAAATCACAAAAATGAGCGATTTTCGGGCTGACATGCAAAGACAAAAGGTCACGTGACCTTGTAACCGTAGGTCCGATTTTCAAAAAAAATCTGTTAAAAGTTGCGCAAGACTCGAAAAAAAAAGTCAGCGAGTGGCGGGGCGCCATCCATATGCGTTCTCGAGCAATCAGAAAAATCGTTGAGGGGGGCCATAATGGCCCCCCCCCCGGCCTTATTAGGGTTAAGCGTTTGTTGGAAAGTTGGAAATTAATAAAGAAAGAAAGAAAGAATAGTAACCTATGTGTAAGACAAACAGAAAGTTCTGCTTCTCCATCTTTTTAAAATATTGTTAACACACTCTTTTGGCCGTACCGGGGGGGGGGGGAGGGCTTTGGACGAATGGTAGCGTTCAAGTTAACGCGACGCGACGCCCCATTCCCAACGCACCCTTTCGGTCTAACCGGGGGGGGGGGAGGGGCTTTGGACAAATGGTCGCGTTCAAGTCAACGCGCCGCGACTCGACGCTACCCACCCTTTCGGCATAAGCCGTAAAGGACTATACCCAAGGATATAAATATTTTATATACCTCTCTTAAGTATGTAGAATAAATCTCGTCATCTGATTGGTCGAAACTGGAGTTGTGATTTTAACCATGCCAGCCTACTGGTCAATGGATAATTAACAGATGCCCGCATGACGGCCTACGGGTCAATAGATTTTTAAAAGACGCCCGTTGCCTCGGATAACCGGCTGCATAATTATTTTTTTGCTGAGATCCCCATTGGTTTACATGCACAAAGTTTCTTTGTGCGAGCGCGGACACCATACAGTGCTTTTTATCTGCGATTCCCAAATAATCGTAACATTCAGGGAACTTTCCAGCGATGATTTGCAGACAGTGTCTCAGATTGTCTGTGATGTTTTAACCAGTCTTTACTCAAGAAAAGGATAAGGTAAGAATTCTTTGTAGATTTGTTTGTGAATTCTGTATAGAAAAGATGTATCGACTGCTTTAATATTCAAAGCATAGCTGTTTCTATACTGGCTCTCGGTGACGTTACATCCTGATGTGACCCCTCGGCGCGCCTCGGCGTCATATCAGGATGTAACGTCCCCTTGAGTCTATCGAAACAGCGATGCCTCTCATAGCAGTCAATATATCTATAAAAACATTTTTGGGGGGGAGGGGGCGGAAAGTACGATTTTACCCTCCTTTGACCAACTAAAGACCGCAGTATTCGCTGACACGGTCGTTAGTCAGACAAAAACGACACCCAGTATATGAATAACATTTTATTTTCTTTCTTAGGATGGTGGCTGTCCATGAAGCTGGAAGATTCTTTCTTCAATAAAATACGCCATCTACAGGATGGGGCCAAACTGCTCACCAAGAAGCAGAGGTTTGGAGGCTCCAATAAAAAGACTTTTGGAATGATCATTGTAAGTGATTTATTTCTATCAATTGAAATGAAGTCAGATGACTTTATTGAAATAAAATTCACAATAATTTTGATTCATCATCCATATTAAAGTAATAGGTACAAAGGAAGAATTAAAAACAAAAAGTTACAAGCGAATCGTCGGAAAGATATTTTAGATCATCATTGAGAAAAGAAACTATTGCAGCACTAGAGTTCTATTCATGGGGGGGGGGGTAGAGTGCATTGTCTCGTGTTGCTCTTGTCGGTTAAGGAATCTACCTTGAATATACCTTGAAGGCCACACCTCGCCATCGTGGTGATGAAGATCCCGTAGATAGTGCGGTGTGGCAGGGTTAAGGGGGTCCCATGAGACCCATTAAAAAACCCCAGGTTGGGTAGTTCTCGTTTGAAGCTGAGTAGTGTGGGAGCATCGATGGCAGTTTGTGGCAGCTTGTTCCATTTGCTTACAACTCTCTGGCTATAGAAAATTTTCGTGATGTCAAGGCGGCTCATGTTTTGGCTGGCTTCATGGAATGGCCTCTTGTTCTTTCATAGTTAGCAAACTGAAAATAATTTTCGGGTTTCGATTTGTCGATTTGTGTCATTATCCTGTAGGTTTGCAATAGGTCTCCTCTCTCTCTTCTTTTCTCCAAAGTAGTTAGTTTCAGTTTTTCTACTCTCTCTCTTCATAATTATGGTAGATGTTGAAAACTTGAAATGAGTTTTGTAGCTTTTGCTTGAACTTTCTTTGTCATACATTATGATTTTATTACAGGGAAATAAATGTGAACTAAAATATATATTTGTTTGAATCTATTAAAAAAATACATTCTTATTATAATTTCATTTCAGAAGTGTTGGATTCAAAATTAATGGATTGCTAATGGTTTTCATTAAGGCCTCTCTCTCTTTCTCTCTCTCTCTCTCACTCTTCGCTGCTGTAACAGTATAGTGAATACGATTCACATGTATTGCCTACCAACTCGGATTTAGAGGCCATCGAATCTCCATTACCTGACACCGAACTCGTCAAGTAAGAATCCAAGGGGGTGTTCCACAAAGATCCTAAGTCGAACTTAACTCTAAGTTGGACTTAAACATTATTGAGAGCCATTTCTAGCCTTAAATAAAATATATTCAACAGAAAACATTAAGTATTTTAGACTTTTCTTAAACTCCACATTAAAAAAATGAAATCTCCTTGATGATAGAAAATATGAATGATTTGAATCAACATCTTATGCCTTTAAAAAAAATTTTACAACATATTTTCAAAGATGCTAACGGCTTTCCATAATTGTTAAGTCACACTTAGAAATAAGTTCAACTAAGGACCTTTGTGAAACACCCCCTGTACTACATTAGCTTTACTATTATTTTTTACTAGTATAGCTTGCATCTCAGGTAGGATTGTCGTAGGAGACGGACTTCTTTCTGCAAAAAGAAGGCATCGCTTTGTTTTCTATTTCAAAATGGAAATTCAGTGGTACGCAAATAAGCACTTTTCAAGTATTTTCCAGTATTTGCCGGTATTTCCGGCCCGGGAAATCGTCCACCCCGGTGACGTTCTTATCATTCTCATGTACCCAAATTTAAAAGGATGTGGGGTTTTTTTTCTCCATAGCCTTGGTTAATGTTCATGTTTCTGCTCCATACAATAAAACAATAGTATCGTTATATTAGTATCGACAGCATTAGGCCGAACAAGAAATCATTTGTAATCGTTCGTAATTTAATAATTATTTTTTGTAATTTTGTTTTTGGGGGGAGCAATTTTAAAATTCAAACATACCATTTTATGCATTTTACAAGGATCAAAATGCGTCCCGTTGCCAGTTTGGTATATTTCACCTTGGATTCTTTGAATGTTGTTTTAATGTTGTAGAGCCCATCGAGAGATGAAGAAAAACAGGAAGACGGGCATGGAGAAACACGAAAAGGTGCAGGAAGCAATGGAGCACTTCTGGGATGTTCTGCACATGAAGGACCGTAATGGTGACTCAGAGATTGTGCTTAAAGAGCTTCAGGACGCCTTCAAGGATGTACGTAGGTCTATACGTTATCTTCTATATCGACCCGTAGCACACGAGACGTCATTTTTAAGACGCAAGGGTGCGTCAGTAAGCCTTGCGTTCTCTTAAGAGAGAGAGAGAGAGAGAGAGAGAGAGAGAGAGACGCCGTACGAATATGTGATTGTAAACAAAGAGTTCCGTGCATTTCGTGAACTCACTGACGGTGCATGAAAGTCAAGTGATGTAATGACGTAGGTGATAATGACTCCCCCCCCCCCCCCTCAATAACGCCTTATGACGGGCTTATGACGTATCGTGAACTATGGCCGTTTCACAGAGGAATTATTTGATCGTGTCATTACCTGCGCTATTGAAGCCTTCGAAGGCAGTTGGTGAATGCGCCAGTTTTCCTACGAAATATCCACACTTTTCATTTTCTACTCTCTTAGAGTACGATGTCCCTCTCCCTTGAGGTATCAAAGCTTGCGTCAGTCTTCTCTCTGTCTCTGTCTCTGTCTCGCCTTTCCTCTTTATCCCCTCCTCCCTCCCTCCCTCTAATTCTGTACTTTCAACCCTCACTTCTACCTTCTGCCTAATTCTCTTTGTCTCTTCAGCACAGCTATCACTCTTTATCGTTCGATTTACCATCTCCTCCCGTAATCTTCTCATACATCTTTTTCACTCCCATTCTCAACATCATACTTGTATTAAAGAATTATGAAGTTTTATAGAGGATTACCATGCCTTCAAGTAAAGCTTATGTTGCAATCCTTCCCTACGATTTGTTTATGTTAGTATTACAATGTAAGTATTTAATGTCTATAGTTACATTTGTTTTTATACCCTTCAAAATGCTAAACCATGATTGAATTTCTCCCCTCTCTCCCTCTTTCTGGCTCCTCTTTCTCTTGTTCATGATCTAGCCAAACGAGTTCACCCAGGAAGATATTCTTACCCTGTTCGGCAAGGCCCGTACAGCTGATGAAGTCTTCAAACTGCTAGATGCCAACAAAGATGGCAAGGTAGATCAGTGCACCATTTCTGGTATCATTTTATTTCATTATGTTTGCAATGCTCCCTATCAGGAATAAACCCTATTGTCACGATCATTTCATGAACAGAGGTGCACGTAAATATATCTTCAAACTTTGTATGGGCATGTTTATTTATTACTTTTACTTATGTATTGATATTAAAATGGTAGCCAATTTAACATCAGTTGGTCTCCCACCGGGCCCTGTGAATAAAAACAGTTAGGACTATCAATCAAACCGATCGCAATAAAAATAGCACGTCAGAAAAAAACGTATATATACAATTAAAATTCACATTATTAAAATTAAAAGTGAAGTTACAGTTGACTTGGCAATATGAACATAGTAACTTTGTTTAAGGTAGGTTTTGAATGAGTCAAGGTTTGTGGGATAATGACAGTTATACAAATGAATAGACCTAGACTTGCTGAAAGTGACCTGCACAGAATTGTGTACATGGGACTACGCGAAATGTGGCGTGAAAATTCGGTCCAAATTAAGCGTGCGGCTTACCTCGAATCATCGGATCATCGTGTCGGGCCGGATAGTCGCGTACGTTACCGAACCTTTGGGGAAAACATATCCATTTAATCACGGAATAATCACGATCGAAAGCGATGACCCGATGATTCGAAGTAAGCTCTTTTCAGGACAATTATTTTTTTCCAATGACATTCTTTAATCCTTACACAAATAGAAAGCAAAAAACTTCCAAATTATTTTCATTTTTTTCACCTATTAGGTTGTCTTTGGTGAATTGATGAGGTTCGCTGACAAGAAGGGCGTAGGGCTCCATGAACAACACATTGGATCTGGTCGGCAAAACATCAGGAGTCCGACTGAATTTGCGACAGGTATCTTTAAGGCGCTACTTATGAACGTCAAGCGAGCCTTCCTTGGGGTGATTGTTCTCTTTCTTTTGTTGATATTAGAAGTCGTAATATTTCATTATTAATGTAATTATCAGATTTAATATCATTATTATTCATATTTTGTATTATTTTCATCATCATTATCATTATTAACTATCGTTTTATTATTATTATTCTTATTCTAATTATTACTCTTATTATTATCACCAATATTATTTTTATTATTACTATACTTATCATTACTTTTTTTTTAGTAGGGTCCTTAATCGGGGCAGCGCCAGGAGCGTCACGACGTGACGGACATGTGCGCTATATAAGAAGCCATCATTATTATTATTATTATTATTAATATTATTATTATCATTTTGCATGTTATTATCATTATTATTATTACCAATACTTTCATTTGTATAGATTATTATTGTTGTTTTTGTTGTTAGCATTATCATTATTATTATCATTATTATTATCATCATCGTCATCATCATCATCATCCCTGCCGACGTTATCATCATTATTATAATTATTACTACTATTATTTGAATATCAATTTTCTTCCATCCTGTCGACGACTGCAGGGCGATGATATCGAGCGTACAGTGCTCATCAACACAGTTTACTACCAGTCTTTCGACTTCGGGCCGCAGCAAGAAGACCTGGATTTCCTGGTCGAGGTAAACATTAGAAACACCATAACAATTCTAAGGGCTCGTTGAGATATATGCAGACGGAGAACCGTGGATTTAATTACGCGCAAATAAATGAGAAAGGTCTTACGCGTATTTACTTAGCTATGTGCAATAAGATATTGCAAGAAAAAATACGATGTAATACATATATATATATATATATATATATATATACATATATTAGTGCTTCCAAGTATTTGTTCATTCTGTTTAATAGATTTGTTCATCTATTTCGGAGAATTTGTTTTGGGCTCTCGTATTTTCAAGCAAGTTGCTTAAACTGGCATTTGTTAATAACAAATAATTTTGTAAAGTTTAATGAATGATGATACTCTGACAATGAATCTTTTTCCCTTTTTTTTCTCATAATTATTGTGTGGTTTATTTGGTTATATATGATTCATGGTGAGAAAGTACTTATTCTTTTTTTAAATTTTAAATTTATATTAAAATGCAGAAGAAACAATAATTAAATCAAATCAGATACGTAAAATAATGTGAAGCATATTCTATTTTACGTCATCATTGAAACAAACCGCTGCGGTTTATCGCTGCATATCAGAACAAGGCTTTACAATAAAAGGTAACGTTCTCAAGAAACATGAATCGAGAGAAATCTATTTTAAACATACTTAAAAAGTCAACAAATTGGTAAAGGTATGAATAATTTAGTTGTTAAATGTATGTATTAATAATTTACAATGTACTGTTTGTATGAGAACGCTAACGTTTGATAACCGAGTCAACAAACCTGTTACATTACCCTATTTTCCTCCCATTTGGTATTTGATAATCTTAAATCCCAATTTTGTTTGCGTTTTCACATACAGCAAGGGCGTCGCGGATTCTTAAAGTTTCTGAAGTACCATGCGACCAAAGCTGCATCAGAACAAGACAAAGCATGTTCGACATAGAGGGCAGTCTACACCAGTAACTTTATATTTCACGTTGATCTTTTTATTAATATTTCGCATTTTAACTCAGTACTAGAAGTTCTTCGTATGATCCCGCACATTCACACAGTTGTATGTATACACGAGTAAATGGTCACACAGTTGTATTCAAACGGATACCATGATTATGAGATGTCGTATGGATTAACGGTGCTGAATGTTTTTCTACATTGTTTTATAAACTAAGTTTGTTATGTATCTCATGTTTACTCTATGTATATTTCTGTATGTATTGAGGGCCCTTAATCAAGCCTTGGCTTTTAGGGGCACCCTGACCATTTACACTGTATCATTAATGTTCACACACGCATGATTTGTATACTGTTTTTGTTTTTTTTTAAATGGTTTAACAAAACGAATTGAATTGAATTGAATTGAATATAGGCGATTATTATTTGGCAACAATTTAGCTTGCTCTTAGTTCTATATGTTTATATGATTTTGGAAAAGAAACATAAATATGAAATATATATAGACACAAAAAGCTTGGTTTGAACTTCACAAGCGCTTACAATTTGTCATATTATCGTCGTGTGAAGTGAACCTCTCTTGGTTTTATATAGGTGCGTATGTATATGCAGGTGGACGATTACACTGTTCAAATAGGTACCAGTATTATTAAGCTGTCCTATGGATTAACGGTTGATTTTATGTACAACATTGATTGTCCTGGTTTTCCTCTCTTCTTCGTAGGATTAAGATTTTAAAAGCCGTCTGTACAAGTTTCGCAGGGAGGGATTAGACCACCCAGCGAGGTCACTGACAGGTGGCTATCTCATCAACTCAGCTCTCTTTTTAAATACGAAAAAAGGATCGTGGCGGACAAATGGTCACCGATTAGGTATTGTTTGCTATATAGAAGGAGCAAATAGTTACAAGTAGTACAGTGTGGCTTTTAGGTGTAAGAGTGTATGTAATCTGTATTATTGTAGATCACTAATCTGTAAATTAGAAAATAAAGTAAGATATTCAATTAGAGGAGAGAGAGAGGGAGAGAGGGAGAGTCAGCACATGAATCGATATGAATGTTCTTGGCGTATATGTTGTATGTAAACAGTAATTCTGTGTCGGGTGTATCTCCCGTTTCACCAATATATTATTATCCTCTGCCATGGCAAATAATATATACATTAAAGTAAATTCAGAGAAGTAAATGAAATTGGGAATGACATTCTAAACGCATCGATCTGGTGTTTTTAAGGCAATGTGATTAGTCTTGTTTTTATGAAAGGGCAAGCATGGCAGCTTTTGTCTTTACATTTCTGTATGCCACTTCCCGCAATGGGTAATTGTTTAATTGCCCTTCAAATTGATCATGAAGTGCCTCAAAAGAGTAAAAATCTTTGAGTGTCCGGTTTCACCATAACAATTTACCCTAATCGACTTTAGTGTTTATAAAAACCGTTAGGAAAACGGTTTTTGAAATTCCGATTTCCAATCATAAACACCTTGATAATCACAGGATTCCTGACTGATCTAATGGTTTACAATTATCATTGCAACTTGAGCTAAATCCAGGTTTTTGTTTCAGAATCTGAAACAAAGATACCCACTCCCTTCAATGCCATAGGCTTCATGTCAAACCCATTTCTTGTATTTTTTGCTTTGAATATGAGATGCCATGGACTACCAATGGTGTATCTTTCTTAGAGTAGCATTTGATCCAACTGTTTTGTTATTTGTATTTGTATTTATTAACATTTATTTCCTTCTCAACAGTACAATATGAAACACAATGTATATAAATTATATATGTAACAATTATTTCAACGTAGAGTATACAGTAAATAATTCAGATACGGAAGGAGGCGAAAACCCGGAAAGCATAGCTTGGGTTGGGAACGCCCATAATAAGTTAACACAGTTACCGAGAGAACATTATAGATATTATTATGAAAATTACATTTTATATAACAGAACGTTGATAGGAAAGAAAATATAGTAAATGGAAGAGGGGGGAAAATGAGGAGGGAATTGAGTATAGGAAGGCATGTTCACTTATAAAGAGAAAGTTAACTCAATTGGGCTGTGCATAGTGAAAGTAACGGTTCACTCCAGTCATCTAATTTCAATTTCATTATTATGATTTTAATAGTATCCAGTAAAACATGTATTGCTTCGATTTATTATATTCTGCGCTGTCCAGTAGCCTATTACTTCGCTGTCGTCATATATATATTTCATATTGTTATATTTTAGTGACCTATTTTTTTTTAGTGACCTATTTTTAAATGTAATTTGATATTTTTTTCATTATTTGCATATTATTTTGAATATTGTGCATTTCCCACCTATTTGTAGTACGCTATATCTCAATAAACATATATATATTTGCAATTATCTCTTAATCATCTCTTACAATTCGTCCTTACTATGTGATGCGCATTGAGACTTTTGTTTATCTTATAATGTGCTGCATAACAATCTACTAATTATATTATTATTAGAAAAGAGCACTTATCAGGAGGGGAAGGGTCACTTGTCAAAGTAAAACGAGCATCTCTCATATTTTATTAGAGGCATTTATCAGAGATGAAAAGAGCACTTATCTAAAGCGAAAAGGATTAACTTCTCGTACCTGAAAAGGATCATTTACCAGAGATGAAAGGGTGCACTTATGAGAATGAAAGGGACACACTTCATCGGTGTTAATGGGCATTTATGAGAAGGGAAAAGGATTCTTTTTTAAATGGTACTCATCATAAGGAAAAGGGGTAGACTTAAATAAAAAGAAGTGGCACTTCTTACAAAATCAAAGAGGCACTTATCAAAGTAAAAGGAGCACCTGTCAGATTTGAAAAGGGTATTTTTTAGAAGTGAAGGGGGCACTGATGAGAATGGAAAATAGACACTTATAGCAAAGGAAAATAGAAACTTGTCAAAGGGAAAGGGGCACGTGTCAAAAAGGAGGGGCACTTATCAGAGGTAAAAAAGGGAAGGGACGCTTTTCCAAAGTAATAGGAGCACATTTCCTACGTAAAATGGGTCACTTTGGGGGTACTTAAAAAGAGAGGTGGGGGCCGCCTCTAGCGTCAGTAAATCGCCCCCCTAGGCTAACATCAGATCTCCACCACTGTTTTATACGATACAATGCATTAATATGTCTATAATTTACTATTCATACGTCCTGTACCTACAATTCCTTTGATATGCGATATATGTAAGTTTCCCGTTTCCGGAATCGCCATGAAGTATGATTTTTACAATTTAACCATTACAGATAAGCGTTTTTCTTTCTGGCTATTTCTCTTAGACAAACTTTTCAAAAAAAAGGTGTTGGGGGGGGGGCGCTCGAGCCCCCACTGTATGTTGACAATTTATGTACTACTTTGTTTACTTTGTGTACGGAAGAGTATATCCCAGTTGATTACCAATTATCTTTATAGTACGTTCCACTTACATTTATGAAAAAGGAAAACAAATTTGTTTATATGTTTTGTAATGACCAATAAAATCGCTCGATCCAAATAACATACTAGTTAATGGGGAAAGGCAAGATATTAAATCACATTGAATCATATTATATCACATTTTCTGTATAAAACTATGCACTTTATTAACGGGTTTAAACAGATAAATATTTCCAGATACATAGTATAATTTTCATGGGCATTGGGAACACTTAGAATTGTCGTCAATTTGGATGATTGTCTGACATCCGATGGAAATGTGACATCACTCCCTATATTTAAAATTTTAGAAGTAGCAAGACCAGAACAAAACATCTAAGCCGAACAATATTGCGAATTGGGAGCTTGATGTTTGTTTCTCTAGCTGTGAATAAATGTAGGTTCAGCGTGGTTGAAGAACAAGGAGATAAACTTTTTGCCACACAGATGTTCGTTTGTCTCTATGTTTTTCCATTTTTTTTCTTTCATATCGATTACTATTCCGTTGACGTAATTGCTCCATTTATCTGAAAAACATCATGTTTCTTTGCAGGTAATGTGAAGGACGACACATTACCACACACACACCTGAGAAAGAATACATATTATATCAGATGAATATATCAGATATTTTGGTACTGCGTGGTAATTAATTTATGGACCCGGGTCATGCAGCTTGATAGTAAAATATTGTTACATCGCTACAAAAGTGAGGTATAAAGCATGGCAGCATTTTCAACTATCAAACATGTTATTTTTTTTACTCATTTTACCCAATGAAAAAAAAGAAGGGAGCACTAGCTGCAACCAAACAAGAAGGATTCTTTCAGAGTTTTGAACCATGCAAAACGCTATTTTGAACGATTGCCTTTTATAATTTCAAATTTCTTTCGAATGGTGAAAGTAATATTTTGAACTTTCTTCTTCTATTTGGGGGGGGGGGCATCGTTGGCAATGTCCTGGTGACACTTTGATACTAGGGAGCTTAGGAAACGAGGGTTATAATTTCTTCGATATTTACACCTTTGTTAATACCGATGCAATCAGAGGCGGCGAACCCGGGAGGGCAGGGGGGGGGCACAGTGCCCCCCCCCCACACTTTTTCAAGTACCCAAAAAGTGCCCCTTTTTCTATGGAAAAAGTGCCCCTTTAACTTTGTAAGAAGCGCCCCTATTACTTTGATATGTGCCCCTGTTAATTTTTGAAAGTGCCCCCTTTCCTTTCCACCTCTGATATGTGCCCCTTTTATTTTGACACGTACCTCTTTTCCCAGACAAGTTCCCAGTTTCCTTTGCAATAAGTGTCTATTTTCCATTCTCATAAGTGCCTTTTTTTAATCTCTAGTATGTGCATCTTTTCGGATACGAGAAGCGCCCCTTTTCACTTTTGTTAAGCGCCTCCTTCACCTCTGATAATTGCCCTATTCAAATCTTAGAGGTGCCCCTTTTACTCTGACAATTGCCCATTTTTCCTTTGTAAGAAGTGCCCCTTTCCCTTTTAATAACTACCTCTTTTAACTCGGATAAACGCACCTTATATTTTCACATGTGCCCCCTTTCCCTTATAATAACTGCCCCTTTTCCTAATGATAAGTGCCCCCATTTTACAAAGAGCCCTTCGCCTTTTCATAAATGCCCCTTTTCACCTATGAAAATAGTCCTTTTTTCATTCTCCTACTAGTGCTCCTTTTCATGTCTGGTAAATGAACCTAATCAATTCTGAGAGACAATCGTTTTATTTTGACAAGTGCCCCCTTTTCCTCCTGATAAGTGCTCTTTTCATCTCTAATAACACCCCCTTTTATTTTGACACGTGCCCCTTTTCATTCCTAATAAATGCTCTTTTTCCTTCATAATTTCCGCTTTTCATGAAAGCCCCCTTTCACCTCCAATAAATGCCCCTATCAAAATCTGATCGGTACTCCCTTTCTTTTAACAAATGCACATTTACCTTTACTATTAGTGCCCCTTTTTCATTCTCATAATTGCCTCTCTCATATATGATTTTTGCCCCTTTTCAGGTGCGATAAGTGCCCCTTTTCACCTCTGATAATTAACCTTTTTTAACAATGATACGTGCCCCTTTTCCCTTC